TGGATTCCCTGTAGGAATGCCAGACCTCCTGGTATTTCTGCTTCGATTTCCTGTAGGAATGCCAGGCCTGCTGGCATTTCTACTTAAATTTCCTGTAGGGATCTTCGATCTCTGGCACGAATGCCATGGCGCTTGCGCTTCTAGCTTGATTTCCAGTAGAATTGCCAGCCCTCCTGGCGTTTCTACCTACCTGGACTTTCGGTAGGAATGCCAGGGGGGGGCCTCCTGGCATTTTTTCTACCTGGATTTCCGCCAGGCTGGCACTTCTTCTTGGATTTTCGGTAGGAATTCCAGACCTCCTGGCGTTTCTACTCTGATTTCCAGTAGAAATGCCGGCCCTCGGCAAAGGTCGACTTTTCTCTGTGGGAGGGAAGTTTTCTCTGTATCACAGAGAAAACTCCTCTCGCCACAGAGAAAACTCAGAGGCCGCGACAGGTATTTCTGTGCAGAAATGGCAGTTTGTGATGCGCAAGCAGCCATTTCTGTTTGTTTTTATATGTGTATCCTTTATGTTTTTGCTTATGTTTGTTTTTGTTTCTTCTCATTCTGTTTATGTTTCTGTTTCTTGTTTACACTTTTCTCTGTTTTGCTTTCAACTTTCTCTGTGATATCTTTTGATATCATTTGATATCAATTGATATCAACAGAGAAAACTTAATATTTTATCTTTCGAGACCCCTTTATGGCACAGACCACCAGCTAAGTACTCACAAGCAGGAGCATATCATAAATAGTACTGTAAATACTTGTTAGTCGGTCGCCTCAAGTAGAAGCGAGCACCCGATTGATTTTATGCAGCAACTACACCGAGGAACGGATAGAGTGCTTATATTATATTTTTTCGCTTTATCCCAGTCGCGAAGGCCAGTGAGACGAGGTAAATTGCATCACAGACCTCGCGGGCCATGCAAAAAGTGCATGACAAACCCAATAATTCCAGACCCAGATCTATTTGCATTTGATATGGATGGAGCTGGAGGCGCTTCCCTTCGCTGTTCGCCTCTCTCTCCTGCTCCTTCGATCACGGAGGCACGTATGCCGCAAGCTAGTCCAGCTGCACGCTCGATAAGTGAACGGACGTAGAATGATGGCACACTCGCACGAAATGCAACCGCTCTCCATGAGCGTATTTGTACGCTGAGCGATCGACCAAAATGAATGATAGCCTACCAGATCAGAACGTTCGCACTGCGCAAAAACTGCTGTGAAAATTAAAGCAACCAGTTCAGAAACATAGCCCCTTGCGCTAGGAAATGCTGGCGATGATCAGACTCGCTTTTTTTAGACCGCGAAGGTCCTAGTTGTAGAGGTACGAGAAAGGTCTGCTGCTAGTTGAAGGCCGGCCCCGGATCTGTCGCAAAATGCCTAGCGTCCTCGCCCGCCTCCGCGTTTCCCCCTTGATTTCGGGTAGCGGCGTCCTGCTTTCTTGATTCATTTCCAGCACCGATGCCAAGTGTTGGGCTTCTCCGCCAGGGCTGGCACCTCGCCGCCGATTTCTAGTCAGAATGCCAGGCCTGTCACACCTCTCCGTGGCGTTTCGACGGTGCTTTTCTTCGCTATGAATGCCACGCCTGGCATTTCTCCGTGGCAATGCCGGCCGGGACACTTCTCCTTCGTTTTGGGGTAGAAATGCCAACCCAGGCATTTCTACCCGGTGTTTTCCAGTAGAAATGCCGGCTCAGGCATTTCTACCTTGTTTCCCAGTAGAAATGCCAGCCCAGGCATTTCGACCTGGTGTTTTCCAGTAGAAATGCCGGCTCAGGCATTTCTACCTTGATTCCCAGTACCCAGGCATTTCTACCCGGTGTTTTCCAGTAGAAACGCCGGCTCAGGCATTTCTACCTTGATTCCCAGTAGAAATGCCAGACCTCCTGGCATTTCTACCTTAATTTCGAAATGCCAGACCTGCTGGCATTTCTACGTTGGTTTCCAGTAGAAATGCCTTGGTTTCCAGCAGAAATGCCTTGGCTTCCAGTATCCTGGCATTTCTACCTTGATTTCCTGTAGAAATGCCAGACCTGCTGGCATTTCTACGTTAATTTCCAGTAGAAATACCTTGGCTTCCAGTAGAAATGCCAGACCTCCTGGCATTTCTACCTTGATTTCCTGTAGAAATGCCAGACCTGCTGGCATTTCTAAGTTGATTTCCAGTAGAAATACCTTGGCTTCCAGTAGAAATGCCAGACCTCCTGGCATTTCTACCTTGATTTCCAGTAGAAATGGCAGACCTCCTGGCATTTCTACGTTGATTTCCAGCAGCCCTTGGCAGAGGTCGACTTTTCTCTGTGGGAGGGAAGTTTTCTCTGTATCACAGAGAAAACTCCTCTCGCCACAGAGAAAACTCATAGGCCGTGACAGGTATTTCTCTGTAGAAATGGCAGTCTGTGATGCACAGGCAGCCATTTTTGTTTGTTTTTGTATGTATATCCTTCATGTTTTTGCTTCTGTTTGTTTTTGTTTCTTTTCCTCCTGTTTTTGTTTCTGTCTTTTGTTTTGTACTTTTCTCTGTTTTGCTTTCGACTTTCTCTGTGATATCTCTTGATATCATTTGATATCAATTGATATCAACATAAAAAACTTAATATTTTAACTTTCGAGACCCAGACCAGTCGCGAAGGCCAGTGAGACGAGGTAAATTGGTGTGGAGGGGCGCACCTTTTTGGTAGGAGTGTGAAGCACCTCCCCACCCCTTTGAACCACCTCCCCACGCATAACCCCCCCCACCCGGATCGCCTACCCTCCTCCCCTGTGTCACCTCGTGACGCGGCCGCATCACCGCCGTAGCAAGCGGCAGGACGGAGGTGATGCAGCAGCAGAGCTGGTGGTGGCCTCGGTTGTTGGTCGTTTGTTAGTTTAGGGTATAGGATTCAGGGCCCGGGGATTAGGGTCGTCGAGGCCCGCCGGCGCGATGGCGCCGGCGCGCCGGCTGGCCTCGGCGGTGTTTGGGTTCTTTCTTCGTGTTGCCACCCCCGTGGCCCGCCCTTGCCCCGCATCCTTTGGGCCTCACCTTCTTCCTGGTAGGCCCTTTTCCGGTGCGTGGGTTGTAGTGCGTAGCAGGTTGCGGACGTATTGCCATGCGCATTGTGGCAGATACCTGGCCAGTCGCGAAGGCCAGTGAGACGAGGTAAATTGAGACATGACTGGCCCGCTTGCCCGGCGCCGGATCGTGAGCAGAATTGCACTTACGTATGTGTTTATCGGATCCCATGCGCGGGTCGATCGCGATACTCTGCGGCGAGGTTAGTAGATTTGATTTCCAGAGCACCGACATGAAGATCCCACTGTCTGCCTCCTCAATTTCAGTTTGCTCCTTTGCCCATCCGACGGGAGATCTTCAATGCAGATTCTATACAAAATTCTAAAGGAGAAGATAACCGATATAAATGTAGAACTGAAGCAGGGCCTCCTTGTAGAATCCCACTCAAAATAGAAGAACCCGCATGACATCAGAGCAGGCCTTCGATGTATTCTGAGGCTGGGTTCGTTGGGGCAGCTGGATCATACATTCAAACAGGAGCGGAATTCGAAATCTCAACATCAACTCGATCCGCCGCCTCCCCGGGCGGGATAGAAATACGGGGCAGATGGCCCGTTCATATTGAGATCCGTCGAAGATCAATTTTCTACAAAGATCCCGAAGATGCCCTTGAAAATCTCGTCGTCCCAGCTTGACGTGTTTTCCGACCGTGCGTCAGGCTGTGAAGCGTCCTGTTTTCCCTTTTCACAAATTATACTATGAGGCACCTCGGCGTTTCGAGTATTGCTCGTCGTTGTGCAACTCAGCGGAGCAATGGCTTTTCCCAATTCTGGCAAAGTCTTCGAGGATGGAAGCAGGGCGGTGTACTGACCAGATGAGGTTTATCGCACAAATGGACGGGTTCGCCTTGTTCGTGAAACGCGACGGCAGCGCGTTGCGACCGCGGGTTGCGCGTCTGGCGAACGCGCAACCCCCCCGGGGCGGGAAGACGACGACGGTCTCCGGTGCGCGGGGCGGGAAGACGGCCGGCGGTTCTCGGTGGGTGGTGTGGGTGTGGGTTCGGTTCGACGGTGGGTTCGGTAGACGACGGTGTTATCTTGTGTGGCGCGGTGTTCTCGCTCGGTGGCGGCAGGTAGCACCAGCCCAGCAACATGCAAAAACTGCACCGGGTAGCAGGATACGAATATGCAAAAGCATCGCGCTAGTAGTAATTGCATTTGCAACAAGTATGCCTTACCATGACAAATGGAGTGCGAATGTGTAGTGATGCACGATTGCAATTGCTACGGGCACGATACTTTTGCACAGGATACAGCAACGCTGCAGCAACACACCCAGCACCAGCAGCAGCAACAGGCCGACTGAAGAAAATCTTAGCTCGTAGGCGGAGTTTTACTCGCCCACTCTCAGCTTCCCCCAGATGAACTGCAATGATAGCGACCCTTTACACTGCTGACACATGAAAAACTTTCCCAGTTTTGAATTGCAAGAAATGAAGCCAGCTATGGCTTTTCGGTCGTGTTTTGCAATCAATTTCATATAAAAATAAACGTGATGAGATTCTCAATCAGCATGCTCTGATGAAGATTGGCGAGCACTTCGGGGTAGATTTGCACCACAATTCGATTTGTCTACGCTTCAAACCGCGAGTTAACCGTCCGGCCGGCCGGGCGGACGGCTAACTCGCGGGTGCGAGTTAACGGGTCATTTGTTACCTCACTCTTATATTTTTTCGCTTTATCCCAGTCGCGAAGGGCAGTGAGACGAGGTAAATTGTGACCGGCATGGCGATATTTTTACGGCGCGACTGAATAAATTTCAACGCCTTTTTACGACACGAAGCTTTTGAAAGTTGTGCCTAGGCGCGACGAAGTGCTATGCTGAGGTGCAACCAGAACCACAAATGCTATTTAACTAGAACTCCTAGTACTAATTAGAACTCCTAGTACTACTAGGCGGGAACGTAGGGCGGATTGAATGGCGCATCCAATCTATTACAAAAATAAATGGTTTTAACGAACTTGCAAAACCCAAGAAGACCACGTTGCAAATAATGCTTCGTTATGGGAACTACCTTATTACAGTACGTACGGACATCTAAGTGTAAGTCGAAATCGAAAAATAAAATTTGTACATGTATGATTTTTTTTACCCCCATGAATGATGTATGATTTTTTACCCCCATGATTTACTTATATTTTCTGCGGAATTTCATTTTCCGATACAATAGTCGTAGTCCAGTAATGTACCTTGGGCGACTGTGTTAGTGTTTGGAAAATGTTACTAGGCTTAGGTGGAAGATAATGAAAAGCCAGCTGCACAAAGTGGAATACAACTACACCTGCACGCCGGAAAATCGGCTATGCACACCAGCACCAAGCCTCTTCCCCGCCTCTGTCTTTTATTGTCAGAATATGCTGCAAGAAAACATGCAGCACACTGCAGCAAGCATCTTCACCCAGGAGGACACGACGAGAAGGAAAACACAGTAGCCGAAATAAGGCTTGCGCGCGCGTTCGGATGTCAAGTGGTGTGAGGCAACAAGCATGACACGCGACCTCTCCGGTTGCCAGTGACACGGCCTCCTATTGAGTGTTAGTTAGTATTTCATTCAAAATCAAAGCGCGAAGCAAGCGATCGCGAAACTGCTCGCCATTCAGAGAAAAGTTTTTAGGAAGAGGCCGGGGGTGATTCGGATGTCTCATCATGCTCATGAAACGATCATGATTAGGCGAGAGAGCTGGAATCTTGACTGCAAAGGATTTTTTTTGGCCTTGAACCTTTGATGCCGTGCTCGGGCGCGGAAAAAAAGAAACACACGATCATGATCAATATAAAACTTGTTCGCACAAAGACGACACAGATGATCTAGAAAATCAGCAGAAAAACGAATTGATCCTTTCACAAGCAGTGCCGAAGATTTTTTTCCTCCTCGGTACCGCTATGGCGGGAGTGCGCAGCCAGAGCGCTGGCGTAGTTGTTGTACCAGCGTGATTGATTTCAGAAATCGCGGAAGAAGACGTACTTCATTTCATGATGGGCACCACAGCTGCAGTTTAGTTTCTGCAACCTTGCATAGCATAGTGATAGTACTACTTGCTATAATTTCGCTTCAAAAACCACGACGTGCATACAGGTCAGAGTTGGAGTTCTTTTCTTCGATAACACTTTCTACTGATCCGCTTCTCGCGTCTACTTCTCAACAAATCTATAAGCTTTCAAAAATAAGTATTGAAGTTATTTCATCCTACTTCGGAAGACGATAAAAACGAAAACCTCAGTGCGTTGCTGCTCTACGTGTAAAATCTGCTGCTAGGTTTTCTGTCAGGAGGGAGTTTTCTTCGAATCCGTATAAGACAACAAGACTTTTCACGCCTTTTTGTTTCTAACGAGCAATCGTTCTACGGCATTTCTGAGACAAAAAATGTTGTCGCCCACTACGGTTCTCGGACGTAGCAACAAAGGTGGCGCGGCCGCGGCAGCTGCTATCATGTTTATTTCTGCCTACGTTCATTCCGCAATTCTGGTCTCCTCGTCGTCGCTTTTATTTCCTGCCGTTGGTGCCGTCCAGGTTGGGAGTGCGCAGCGCCGCTCTTCTAGCGACGAATCTTCGTTGCGGCGCCGGCGGGGCCGGGCTCCTACTTCTCCGGCGAGCCAAAGTAGATATGGAGTCGTGGGCCAGCATCAGCCAGAACAACGTCCATCTTTGGAAACGCACATTACCGTCGTACGTCCGCTTGTGGGCGGGCGGACGTACGAAAAGTACGAGATCCCGGCGTCGGACCTGATTGGCCGGGAAGATGACGAGGAAAACGAGCTGGCCTTTATCTACGTAACCCAGCTTAATCAAGCCTTGAACGACATGCGCAATAAACGGTGGCAGGATGTTGACGCGCGGAAACTCCCGACGATCACACCTACCCTGCCCAATGGATCGTGGGAGCATGTTCCGAGCGCGAAGGAGGCGCTTTGCGCTAGCGACCTCCCCCCGTTTGCACAGTACAGAATCAATTTTGGTACTGACCGCAAGATGACCTCGCTGGGGAAGAGCCCGTTCGTTGGTCCTATCGGTGCCCGGCGTGTGTACTATCAACCATGGGACATGATCCCGGTCTGGAAGAGAACACCGGGTCTCTTTGAGATCGAGCTTCGAATCGCCGGTATGACCAAAGAACAGGAAAAGATCCAAAATAAACGCCGACAACTGGAGGAGAACTTGCTCCGCGCTGTCCGGGACAAACGAAAGAGCGGTAAGGATGCAGAACTGGGTGCCGCAAGTGCCGCGGTCGCAGTGGGGGTGCCGACCTTGGGCGGCTTGCTGCTAGGATCTCCCTACTGCTGTACATCGCCTGAGACGCTTGGATCAGCGTACCTCCTGTCGATACCGGTCACCGGTGCTGCCTGTGGGGGCCTCGACTGGTGCATCGCCAACGCAAGGCAGCAAAGTTTGTGTGAGGAGCTCGCGCAGCTTGATAAGAAGCAGGATGAGGACGAGGCCAAGCCGCTCCTAACACGCGGCGTTCCGGCGGTTCCGCCACGACAGGAGCAGCGTTCCGCCGCTCCGCGACAGCACCAGATGCAGACGTTGATGCCCCTTCCCTGAACGGAGCTCCGTTAGAAGTTCTTGTCAAGAAGTGCAGGAGCCGCGGGGGCGACTCTGTGGTTATTTTCGGCAAGACTTCTACGAAGGTTGCTCGTAATCAATGTATTCAAATATTCTGCCACACACTACTACACAACAACGTGCACATGGTGGAGCAAAAAAGCGCATTGCAACAGCTTCGAGCGATTCGCTCCAACCATTCCAACTACAAGGACTATGAATGAATCAAACCTCGTCCCTCATCTTTACTTCGTAGAAGAAGAAGTGCATCCGTTACGTGTAGTAGCTGAAGTGGAAAGAACTACGAGTGGAAATTTATATTTAAATGTTGATCGGTCTGAGAATTGCATAATTTTATGCTCAAAGATGAAAAAGTTGAAGTAGAAGAGCATGTGCACAAGGGGGCACGGGGTTCTTCACTTCTACCGCACTACCTGCATTCTATTTTCGCAAATAACTCTAGGTGGAGATACAGGTATTTTTTTCTGTAAAGTAAAAGGAGGTGAACCACAGAAGCTCTACTGCTGTTAGCTGTTGAAAACATCATCAAGATAGCACTGCAATTTACGAAATTCTATTGGTTTTTCGAAAGACAATAGAATTTCGTAAAATTGTAGTGAATTACGTGATGTACGGCATTGTTACTTACGTGCAGGAGCGCACGGTAAACAGACTGTATGCGTGCAAATCCAATCACTATTTACTAAGGTCTATTCTTTTTCTACGTGTATGATTGCATAGTAACGATAGTGCGCGTTGCTATTATTCTTGTCAGGCTTGATGTTATCTAGAGGTAACCTTTTACGACTGAGAAACTTTTCTGATACAGTAGCTGGAGGCCAATGAAGTAGCTGTAGCTCCTCGCCGATCCTCGGGCGACTCTGTTTGGAAAATGTGAAAAATCTCGGATACTAGTAGCAAGGGTCATCTTTTTTTTGGCGGGGGTACACAACACCAACTCCCAAAAACATCTCAACATCTATTGACCACGGAATTTCCTCCGAAGACCATATGCACAGCATCAAGCTGTCGCAAGGTTCTTCACTTCAAATCTGGGAAGACGTTGTTGAGAATGCAGAGGAACTAGCCACGCACGTCGCTGACCCGTGGAAAAATGAAAAAAAAAATTCATTGCTGGTGTCGTCCATTGTAAGTATGTTCGACTCTGCTCCGAGGCAGAAGTGGATTATGAAGACCTGACGACCTGTTGTGGTCATGTCGGGACTTTTTGACGGTGTGGAATATTATGGCTAATGCCAAATGTGCATGAGAAACCTTGCGCTTTTCGTTTTCCCTTGAGAAAAAGATCATGTAGTTCCCCGCTAGAAGACCGAGTAGAAGGTGTTGAACGCATGATCACGATCAGCAGGTCGAAGTTCTTCGGTCATCGGAGCGCTTGAAGTCGTTGTACTTGTTGCACACGTAGCCTGACCGGATGAACAAGGGTCCACGAAGAAGTTTTTGTTCCTCATCCAGGGAGGTTCCGCTAGACCACGTGAACGTGCGCGCTGTTTTCTTCTTTTTGTTTTTTTTGTTGATCAGCAGGAACAAGAAGATCCGTACACAGAAACTAGAAGATGCGAAGTGGATCATCTTCACCCGTACCTACTAGTTCATGATCCTAGGCATTCGATTCATCTCGCAACCACATTCGAGAACAATACTACACCCATTCCAACTCCTCGGCACGAAGAACAATACTACAACCATAGAAAGCAATCGCTATATTAATATTATACGTACGTGGAGGACATTAAAATCATGCTGCTGGTGCAGCATCCACGCAGCAGCGTGTCCTCTCTGCTCCAGGGAGGTTCGTCTTCTTGTGGTCCTCGTCACGAGCGGTTGGTGGCAGCACGTTTGCAGCCGATTTTTAGGATTGCGTCGTCTACTGTGCTGGTTCTTTCCAGAAATAAAGCACCTGAAACCTGCTCCGCTGCGACTCCGGCGAAGCATGAAGCAGCTCACTCGCTGAAGTTCATGGTGTCGAGGAAGAAGGGCTTTGCAACATCAATCAGGCACAAGAATGACAGCACTTGTTCCCCAGGCATGCTCAAACAAGCCGATGAACACGAAAAATCTGCAGCACGTGGTGCACAACCACATCAAGCACAAAAAATACAACGACACGGCGCGTCGGAGGCTTTGGAGTTTATCCAGAAGGAGAGGAGCGCTCGCTTCCGGATCGAGGGCATCAACTGGGCAGCGTTTGGGCCCTCGTCCTCGTCCTCCACCAAAAGGAAGAATCCCCCCACCCCATATCGAAAACGAAATTTGTGATGCTGTATTTGAGTACACATAGTCGACTTGTACTGCTAGAAGGCCAAGAGCCTCAGTTGTGGCCTCGTTTGCAGGCAATTTATCATGTTGTTTCCCAGTTCCAGCTGCCTCCTGTCATGCTGACGATGCAGGGCTTTCCCACGCCACCCAGGACTACAGTCCGCATCTTTTTCTTTTCCCTTCTAGCATAGGAAAGCTGATTTGTGACCATAAACCTTCATCACAGATTTCCGCTGTGATATGGGGAGGGGGGATTTTTCTTCTTGATATCCTCGTCTTCATCGTCATCAACACTTATTTGTTCATCGTCCGAGGCGAAGACGACAGCATCAGCAGCAGAATATCCACGAAAAAACACACATCCACATCCAATTTGTCATGCAAAACACGCGTGAAGTCGTGTGTTTGTCATGCAAAAAATGGATGTGAATGGGTTTTTTTCTGTGGATACAGAAGGCTCCTCCGCAACGTCGTCTCGTTCTTCCCCGCCCACAAGAGGCGGAGCGACAGTGTTAGACCAGGCACCTATAATACAACAACCTGGGGTGGAAGTTGTAGACCGCAGCCCAGTGGAACCACGACGAAGACACTCATCTCTTGTCAAAAATGGTCCAGGAGCAACACCCTCCTCACCTCCAGCAAGCAGGGTCAACCTCAAACTCCGCCCCCAGACCACGGCGCAACAGCGGGAAAGCCTATCGAGGCAGAACTACGAGCTAATTGGGTCCCACTCCGCAGTCAAACTCTGTCGCTGGACGAAAAACGCGCTGAAGCACTTATCCAGGAAGAAACACCCATCCACATCCAATTTGTAATGCAAAACATACATAAAATTCCGTGTCTGTCATGCAAAAAGTGGATTGGGATAGTAAGTTTTTTTTCTGTGGATAGCATTATGGCCAGTGCTACAAGCACACGTTCTACGGCATCGAATCGCACAAGTGCATGGAGATGACGCCGAACTATGCATTGCAAATATCCCTGGATGTCTGGAAGGTTGCAAGAACTTGTGATGCTGTGCTTGGATTCCAAAGACATCTGTATTGCATGACCAGCAAACGGAGTCCAGTTTGTGCTACGCGGGCAGGGCGTTTGTCGTGCGGAATAGGCATCAGGAAGGGTGTTAAAAATCTGTGATGGTAGGGCATACATCACAGACAATCATGGGTCTTCACGCAAAACATGCATGACAAGCCTTGCAATCTCCGAGATGACCCAAACATATTTGCGGTTGATACGAACCTGGCCTGCGCGAATAAATGCGTGTTTTGCTGGCGGAACCACACGAATCCGGTGACGACAAAGTGGAAAAAGGAATATGAGACGGACGAGCCGGAGTTTGTGCTGGAAAAAGCTCTGGAATTGCACAGCAAAAAATTTTATGCATTGCAAAAGTATCGTACTAGTATAAATGCATTACAAATTTCCTCAGCATGAGAAATAAAATTTGTCATGGGGATTTACCTTCGGAAAAAAATTTGTAATGCATAACTGCGATTACTACGAGTACGATACTTTTGCAGTTCATAAATTCATCAAGCAGGTGGTGTCCGGCTTGAATGTAAACCACCAGTATCGCAAGAAAAAACTGTTTCACTGTAAACTTGTCATGCAGAGAATGGAACACAGAACTATTTGTCTTGCTACACATGCAAGGCATTGGGTTTTTCAGCGTGTTTTAGTTTTCCCTTGGGAAGCGCGCATGGCAAATTGTCCCTGTCATGTGTAGCAAACTTGTGATGCGGATCTTGCAAAACCATCACAGAGAGGCAGTTTTTTCGTGGGATAACCAGCACACAGCGGGTAGTACAAGAGAAGACCGATCCGTTGTTACCGGAAGTACTAGAGCTGTGGTCTCTAGTATCACGAGAAAAAAGTGTTACAGTTACACATTTGTTGGAGTTTCTGCATCACAAATTTTCTCTGTGTGGCAGAGAAAACTTGTAATGCGAAGATCATAAGGGAAAACAGGAAGGAAACGAGGATCCGAAGCATTTCCTGCATGAGAAAGGTCGTCTCTGTTGCTAGTCTTGCATGACAATGTGTAACTGTAACACTTTTTTCTTGCGATATCTAGTACCCGGGTGTCAGAGGTGTTTGCGGCGACCGCATCGGGGCGTGGAACATATGAAGTGCAAAAGTATCGTACTAGTATGAATGGCATGACAAATTCCCTCAGCATGACAAACGCAAGTTGTCATGCTGATTTGCCTTGGAAACGAGATTTGTAATGCATGACCGCAATTACTACGAGTACGATACTTTTGCACTGGGTAGAACATCACGCGGAACAGGTGCAGTGGGAGTGCAAGCACAGGGAGATGAAGATGTAGTTGCGGCAAACCACGATGATGATGAATTTTCAACACCACGAGACAGCACCCTGACACAGAGTAGATCCCCACAAGAAGTTCTTCCCAAGATGACAATCAGTCAAAACCCCGGTGGAGTGCGTCACTGCGCCCTCTCTCTCGTTGGCGAGCCGGTGCTGTATCCGCACTTGCCGAGGTTGTTGAAGCTGATGTGGCAAAAAAGGATTTCCACGTTTCTCGTTACGAATGGCCAGTTTCCCGACTCGCTAATAACCCTTGCAGAGGTATCCCATGAAAAAAAGCAGGCAGGGCATATCTGTGATGCAAGAATAAACACACAGAAAATTTTGTCATAGGCGGCCCCGTAGCATGCTGTTTAGGGTATGCAGTGCAGATATTCATATTTTTGTGAGTTTATTTTTGCATTACGAATGTGACCTGCCTGCTTTTTTCTGTGCGATAAGAGGCCCAGGAAAAAGCAAACAACACCTTCTGCACGCAGCTTTACGTGTCCGTAGACGCGAGCAACGAGCCTGATTTGAAAAAAGTCGGCCGCCCACTGTTTGCGGATGCCTGGCAGAGGTTGCAAAAATCTCTGCAGATTTTGCGCACGGAGTTTAGTCGAAAGGGGTCGAAAACAAGGACGGTTTTACGGTTGACGTATTTGCTACAACAAGATGAAGGTCGGGGGCCTCATCGTGATAAAGAAAAGACAGCGACTGAAAGTGAAACTTCTGTGTCGGAAATTGTGGGTAGAACCAGTCCTAATATAAATCCTAGTACAAGGCACCGTGCCTATCAAATGCAAAAGCCTCGTAGTCGTACTAGTATAAATTGCGATTACAATAAATTAGCTCAGCATTACAAATGAAATTTGTAATGCTGTTTTACCCTCGGAAAGAGATTTGTCATGCATTGTAATAGCAATTACTACGAGTGCGATACTTTTGCAGTTCATAGTGCCGCCGAGTTTGCGCATCTCCTTCTCACCGCGGAAGCGGACTTCATCGAGGTGAAAGGCGCGACGTTCGCACCGCAAGTTTTCGAGAAGCACGGCATGAGCCAGAAGAATGTACCGACGCACTCGGACGTGTGCGAGTTCGCGAGGTTATTGCAGGAGGAAATCAATCAGGCGATAGCGGAACTGCATCGAAATTCTAAGCAAGTTCTTGCAGAGGCCGCACATGACGGCGCTTCACCGGAAGATGTTCTCGGCTGCACCAGCAGTGCTTCCGATTCCGCCTCGTCTCACCTCCAGTTCTTCCAATACGGGTTAGCGGCGGAGCACCACCACAGCTGCGGGGTACTGCTGGCGAGGAAAGACCGCTGGCAGTGTCCGGATATGCATTGCAAAAGCATCGTACTGCTTGTAGAAATTTTTGCACGATAAATTTTATTGCCACGAAGAAAAATACAGTTTTCCATGCTGAATAAGATAAAAACTCATAGATTTGTCATGCATCACCGCAACTACTACGAGTGCAGCGACAGTGCTTTTGCATAGGATATCGGAAACTGGACGGTGGAATACGTGGATCGACTTTGACAAGATTTTCGAAAGGGAAACTTGTCATGCGGAAACTGCATCAGCACATAATACGGGCGAACAAGAGGACCACAGCAGCCCCACAATAAGCAGAGCGCTGTCAACAACATCACAGGCAGCGACGTCAAGTGCCTCAACAGATCCAATACAGCATGACACGTCGCGGTCCCGGCCCACACCTGAATGGGCGTTGTATGGAAGTAGTGAAAAAGGCTTGAGTCCGGAGGATAGGATGAAGAGAAGTGGGAGAAGGCCGGATGACGTCCAGCAGATGGAAGCTGCACACTAGTTCTCTAAAACACGAATCAAGTTCAACATGTCACGACGCCCGAGTACACTTGCGTCGAGCAGTGACTTTTCCCTTCGACAGCCCCCACATCCTGGCTGTACCTCCAGGCAAGAGCGACTGAAGATATAAGTCTCTCCGTACAGATCCAGCTGCAAATAGGTCGATCCAATAAATTTTCGAAGGCAAGTTCAAATAGTATGCAAATGCTTATGCTTTTTCCGATGCATGTGATGTGATCCTTTGTGAAATGACGTCAAATAACATGTTGTGCTGGAAGAAGCAAAACTGCTCAGGAGTGGTAAAGTGACGAAAAAGATCGAGATCTTCAACCAAAAGCATACAGATCAGAAAATCATCCCAAAAACCACGTAAACACGCCATATGTAGATGGGATCCATAGTTCAAGCCAAACGACGATCACTAGAAAGACGGTAGAAAACCTATGTTAGTTCTTGATACCACTCAAACTCTCTATTCCTGCTGTACCGATGAAACACACCCCCAGGCATTGCGATTCATCTGTGATTATTTTCTTTCGGACTAATTTAGTATCGGAATCGGTAGAATTCGTCCTTGAGCCCTCCAGCAAAATTTGCTATATTGCACTTCTATTTTGCTTGTGTCTGTCTATACTTTGAATTAAATTGTACAAAATAAGGAAGCACTTTACTTCTTCCTCTTCGGAGCACTGCAACAGTAACTTTAAACTTTCTCTTCTCCCTTCTCATCCTAAATTGATAACTTGCTGTACAGTTAAGAAGCAACAATGACTGCCCTTTCCTGCTTCTTCGTTCTGTCCTCTCTGGTGAGCATTCTGAATGCTCCTCCGGTATTAGTTCTGGCCGTCCGCACCTATTTCGACCGGCAGACAACCCGGAAGCTGGTGCTAGAGCCGGTGGAGGACTCGAGGTGGAGAAAAAAATCAAATTCGCCCTCTCCTCGGCGAAACAGGTGTTGCTCCAAGTCCTCAGGCAGATCATCTTCATGCTGCACGAAAAACAAGTCGATTTGCGAAGGAGGGGGCCGATGTCCGTTTAATATTTCGTCGAAAACGAAAAGCGGCAATGATTCAACATCTCCCACAGAAGAACAATACGAATACCGATTATACGAACCTCCCCTCCGTATCCGCAAAGCGATGAACGGGGAGTTAGTTCTCGTATCAAATGTAAAAATGTCTGGGTCTGGAAGAATGCAACTTGTCATGCTAAATCTGAAGCATGCAAAAATCTGTGTTGCGTGATTACCAAAAGTCGTCCAGTTTTGACCAAGTCGGGAGGCAGTTTCTCATGCAGGATAGGCATGAGAAAGATTAAGATCGCACAGAATCTGTCATGCTAGGTCCTGCATTCCAGACCTCATGGGTCATGGAAAAGCTGCATGACAAATCGCGCATTCTTCCAAACCCAGACATTTTTACATTTGATATCTCGAGGATTTATATCAATCAAAACACAACTGGCACTCGTGGACGGTGGGGGAGCTGAAGCAAAAAGTGGAGGCGGTTCTGAAAGAGGAGAAATCTGTCACCTTCCCAGAGCAACACTTATCCGTCACACTGCTTTTGAACAGCAATAGTTGTAGTCCCCATGCCCCAGCGCCAGCGCACGTGGTCTTGGATGCGGAATTGTTTGGGGCCACGCCACTCGGGGAGGTGCTGTGTGCAGGCGGGAAAGGAAACAATATGAAGACGGCCAGCAGGAGTTTTTCTGAAGATGTCGTGACACCCAGCACCCGAGCATCGTCGAAAGATGAAAGTTGCTTCTACCACAACCAAGCACTTGCGTCTGGTTTTTCTGATGCGATAGTACCATCAGAGACTACTCGTACTACTTCATCCGGCGAGGTCTGGACTTCTAAAGCCTGTCAACGTCATTGCGGAACGGAAAATATGCCAGATGCCGTTCTGTCCGAACCACCCCAAGCCATCGAGATCTCAGCGGTGATCAAGCAGGGCCCGACGGTGTTTTCCTCTTTCCTGCACGCCCTGGTTCGGGAACACAACAAGGGGCTTGATAGTAACTACACAAACGATAATTTCGACCACACGACAAACCTGGCGAAAAAAACCTCCACACAGTTATGGGACGAGTACTTCCGGACCTTGCAAGACAGTACAGGTCCCACGCCCGAGCCGGTCGGAGCTGCTGTTGGAGCTGCAACATCGTCATCAAGCGCGCCGGCTTTCTCCATGTTCGACCAATTCACCGCGTATTTCCGGGTTAGGAAACCCCAATTCGACCACGGATTCATGCCCGGATACGGAGAAGAAAATTACACCGAAGACATTGAAGAGAGGGAGAAACAGAGGTTAAAGCAGTTTTTCAGCCTCTTCGAGCAAGCGTTGGCAAGGAAATCGCACTTCGTCCAGATGCCGGTGCAACCTCTCATGCTCGGGGAGCCGGTACCGAATATCCTCCTCCGGAGAGATTACCAAATCGCGCAACTCGGTCAGAACTACGATTATTTCGCAACCAACTCGATAGCAGTCTACAGAGTGCCGGAGAGTCAGGCGAGACTAGTGCAACGGGCGACACGGCATCGGAATGTCATGACGTATCAGATTGGGCCAGCAGAGGGGCGCGTGCCGATATTGATTCGGGGTGACCGCAGAGGTGGTCGTGGTGCGGCGGCGGGGGTTCAAGTTCAACATCTTGCTGACAACGAAGTGCCACCGCTCTCTGACGCCCCGCGCTCTGTCTCCATTACCGCAACGCAGGTGCCGATTCGGTTTTTGCAAGAAGTTGCGGAAATTTCTGCTGGTCCAAACAACGGCGGGGATAATTCTTACGACCATCAGTGGCCACAACGACCATTCGAATCCGTGACGGAGCGAGCCTTTCGGCAGAAGTTGACAACTATCTGTAAAGAGCACTTGCAAAACCCCAGGCATCGGCCAGAGACGTTATCAAATGTAAAAATGTCTGGGTCTGGAAGAATGCAACTTGTCATGCTGCATTTGGATTCCAGAAAAATCTGTATTGCGTGAGTAGCAAAAGGAGTGTAATTTTTGCTACGTGGAGAGGGCATTTGTCGTGCGGAATAGGCATCAAGAAGCTCTGAAAAAATCTGTCATGCTAGGGCATGCATCACAGACATCAGGGCTCATGCAAAACGTGCATGACAAGTGTCAGAATGTTCCAGACCCAGACATTTTTACAGTTGATAGACGTCATTGGCTAGCATTTTCGGCGATTCCATCAAGGGACAACTAGTCCTGGAGGACTCGTCGGGAAGACCGCGGGCCAGGATGAGCGCGGCTATGACCTGTCCGGCGCTGGTGAGACGAAATGGTGACGATGAAAACGAGGGAGAGGTGGATTTGAATTATTTAAAAGTCATTCCGCGGTTGACATTACAAATTGTCTTCACTTTCCCCATTAACCCAGCAGACGTGATTCCAGAAGAGGTCAGTGCCGTCGATCTGGTTTTGCCCTACCGAAGAGAGCGCAGCGCGCATTCTTGTAGTTGCCTACCGGATAACCCTGGGAGGGTGCTCAGGGCGATCTGCACCAGCTTCTGCTTAGGAATGGCGGGGAGGTAGGGACGGTTGTAGAGGGGTGAAAGAACGATGTATCGGCGATGTTGATACAGTAGCTGTGTACCAGTTCATGCGAGCAGTAGAGTTAATACATGGAGCATTACGTTTCTTTACGATATCAATAAAGTTCTGCACCTTATTTACGAATGAGAAAAACAAACTTTACCCTGGCACAACATGATCAAGTAAGAAAAAACACATGAAGTTGGAATTGCATGCGCACGACATATAATTGAATCAGAGAAAGCACCGAGTTTTCTGCTTTATTGGAATGGTTTCGTTTTCTCTACCTGGCTAGCTACTTCTAGATCGGCTTTTTTACGAAGCGTCTTCTAGGCATTCAATAGTAGAATGAGACTCATGCATGGTAAAAATGAACTACACCGATAGCACACAAGAAACAATACTACCGAAAGTCAAAATTCGAACGCGATTTTTTAGCGAGTTGACTATTCCTTCAGATTCAACAAGCACGCCAAACATTCCATGCAGCCGAAAGCTACAGATGTGGGTCGGTAAAAATTTTCAAGCCGTATTAATAGTAGAAGTTCCGAAAGGGCGATATTGTGATACGTGTGTATGCCAAAATGGGGCGGTGTTCGTTCAACTCGCGGATGTTGGAAGCGAAAAAATTTGAAGATAAAGTTTTCTGAAAATCTTTTCGTCGTGCTGGCTCAAATCTAGATCGTGATCGTGCCGACAAGATCGATCCCCTTGCTCAGTACAATTCGCCTCGCTAAAGTCGCTAAGCTTCTCGTGGTCTATTCGCATTCGTATAGAACAAAGCAACGTATTCGCAGTGAGCGGTTCGTCTTAAGTGGTCGTGTCGCTTTCTCGCATGATTCCTCGAAAGCATACTCGTTCATTCTCGTGGTCGTGTTTGCACAAGACGAAGACCTTTTGTTGTACTTAGTTCCATCGGAAGAGTATGTTCCATTAAGCGCGAGGACGACCCGAAAGATTTTTTACGCCGTTTTTGTTAAATCGGTAAAAAGGAATAAATACAGGATGGAACATCAAGAACAAGCCACGACGGCGGAACAATTTCTCTTCAACCTCCAGACTCACGTCGCGCGGGAGGACACTGATGACTGGCAAACGGTGTGTAGCTCAAGGAAGTCGAGCAGCAATACTGGCAGCAAGAAGAGCTCTTCTTCGAAACAATCTTCCGGAAGCAGCTTCGCAACAAACGGATCGAAAACTAGCCTTGACGCGCAGCAGAAACACTTCACCTCCGAGCCGACAATTTCTGCTTCGACCGTAATTGCGACCACCACGGGCAAGAAAAGTAAAGATGCCCCCTCTGATGGCGGTGGCGTGAAGAGCGGCAGAAATAAGAAATCCGTGCCTGTAGCAAAGCGGGAACTGCAGGAGTGTGTCGCTTTGAATTTAAAAACGAATGTTTTACGCAACTCGATCAAAGAGCCGCGCTGCGGAACCACGACGGGGTTGTTTATTAGCAGGGAGTCCGCACCAGTCGCAGCTGAGGGAACAGCAGGGCAAGAATTGAAAGAGCGGCCGCGTTTCATGCTGCAACTCTCGGATTCCACCTGTCACTTCTTCCGCACCACCAGCTCGCCGGTGGCTGCGACCGCGGATGAAACAGCGAAGATTTTTGGGGTGCAGCTTGCGGAGAAATTGAAGAAAGGTGAAGGACGAGAAGGGGAAATAAGCACCAAAGTTTTTGCGAAAGAACCCACGACTTCCACCCTGCCTCCAGGACCGTCTCATGCGTCGAGTAGTTGCACTTCCAGTGTTGAACAACGTCGAGATGCCGCTTCTGTGGCTAACGAAAATTATGTGGGTGTCGAACCGGGGCAGCTTGAAGTCTTCGTAGAAGAAAGAGAACCCGAAAAACAGGATGATGTCATTCCTCCGGAACAATCGCAACACATCTCGATCCTACACCTGTTGCAACAAAGTGCTGGTTCATCGTCTCGTACGGATGAAGATGAAGTAGAAGTGGTGCGCGCTCCAGAAGCAGAAGCTGCTAGCAGCACGTTGTTCCCACCGGCAGATGATGAACTTGTAGCAGAAGATGAACCTAAAAAGTCCCTCCTCGATTCCCTCCTCGCGGAGCTCGATGAGAAGAGTCTGGAAGAGAAAAAGGAGAAACAGCAGAAGCAGCAAGAAGCAATTTCTATCCTGTGCAAAAGTATCGTACTCGTATAAATGCATTACAAATTTCCTCAGCATGAGAGATAAAATTTGTAATGCTGATTTACCTTTAAGAAGAAGATTTGTAATGCATGACTGCAATTACTACGAGTACGATACTTTTGCAGTTCATAATTTCCGCCGTCAAACAACAGAAGTACGCGAAAAATGAAATCTACGCTGGATTGACGGGAACGTCGAGCAGCCGACACGCTAATTATAACTGCGGAGGAGCTGGAGGTGTCTACTCCCAAAGTGTCTCTCCCAAGAAGAGACAGCGGTGGGTTCCGCCCTGGAACTACCGGCTGCAACAGCAGGGGGAGGTGGAATATCAAATGCACCTCCCGGAGAAGGAGATGAAAAACTTCTACGGGCACAACTACAATTACCACGCTTGGCTTTGGCAAGAAGACCAGCACACTCCGTCGTACGCGTCGTGTAACTGGTTCTGGTGGTACGAAAAAGGTGGACCAAGTAGTACAAGCGGCACAACATCTTGCGGCCGAAGAACTATTGTTGCAGTCAAAAAAACGTCCTCTGTCGAATACTTCTTCGATCCTGGTCCGGACTTTTTCGACTGGGTTCAAAGAGGTCGGCTCAACTACTACGACCCGAGGACCACGAGCAGTTATGATTATACCGCGGAACGCGCACGCAAAGTAGACGATGCTGCACGCAAAGTAGATGGTGCAGCTGGTGCTGCTGCAGTACCGGGAAGAATTACAGAGGCGCCGCCAGGGCTCGGGTATGATGAAGATTACAGAACCACGCCGCGCGCCGGAGCAGGGAGGCACGAGCTGCAGCTGCAAACGGGGCAGTCTGGCTCTGGTGCTCCTAATATCGGGGACGAAACAAATAACAACATGTGGAGCGATCGGAATCAGGAGCAAGCCACGAAGACAACTAAGCAGTCGGAGGAAAAAATGATGGTCTTCCTCCCGCCCTCCAACCTTCCAGGTGGTACGCTTCTTCGTGATCTGCTTCTGTTGCAATCATCCAGGTCTTCTTCTTCCTCCCATCCGCCAACGACGGCTTCTTCCTCCACGCAAAATTCCAAGAACACCTCCACACAGTTGATGCAGAACGTGCAAGAAGAAGAATCCAATGCAGTTCCGGACGCGGAGCAGCAAGACAAAGAAGCAAAACTCCGTCAGATGCGGCTGGATGAACAGGAGGAATTGTTGGATTTATCCTGTGCAAAAGTAACGTACTAGCATAAATTGCATTACAGATTAGCTCAGCATGACAAAATTTGTAATGCTGTTTTGAATGAGGATGATGATTGTCATGTATATTTGCAATTAGTACGACTACGAGTACGATACTTTTGCAGAGCATGGGACTACATCGTCAACTACATGAAGATATCCTGAGTAAAAACGTACCCACACCATAGTTGTCATGCAAATCTGCATGCTTAAAATGTTTGTCATGCGGAGCCCCATGAGAAGCATTTTCTAAGGGTGTTTTGAAATTTGTCATGCTCCAATCAGCATGAAAGACTAGATCTGTAATGCTGCTGAACTAGCTCAAACAGCACTACACTTCGCGTCCAAATTTGTCATGCGAAACAAGCAAAGTTGGCCGATTTGTCTAGCAGATTTTCCATCTTGACTCTGGTGTGGGTACGTTTTTACTCAGGATAGAAGAAGCACACGGCTTTGCTCCAAAACAGCACGATCTCTCTGGAGCAAGGCACCGCCGGAAGAACCGCGGAAGGTTTATTAGACGAAATCACGCTGAACGCAAAGGTTTGCTCGTGGCTGAGCGAAAACTACTACAGTTACTACTTGCCGAAAATGAAGTTGTTGACGAATGCGACGAGGCAGCACATGGAGAGGAAGAATTCAGCTGCGAAAGTTAAAATCTCCGATATGACCCGCTCAGACGTTACAATCTCAACTGTTACAATAGAATCTGGAAATCTGTGATGCAAGAGCTGCATGATCTAGGTAGCCTACTATCATAGGACTGTGCATGACGAGTTTCGGAGTCCCAAACCCACCTGAAATCCGGCAAAATTTGTATTGCGAAAAGCTCAATTCTCTCTGCGTTCATCATGCTCTTCATGTAATACAAATTCCAGATTCTATTGTAACGCTTAAGATTGTAACCACGTTTGAGCAGGCCATATCCGAGCAGGACATCCTCGAGGTGATTTACAGCGACATAAAGTTCTGCCGGGACGAGCTGGCGAAGGAATTTTGTCGGTATTTCTCGGAAAAATACGCCGTGCCGAAAGCGGAAAATGTAAATGGAGAAGGGACGGTGTCGATTGGTGTCATGAATGGTGGTGGCGGGAAGTAGGTAGGGATTGTGACGGTCGTTGAACCGCTGCAAGGCGCGGTTCTTTTCACTGTAGGATTTAGTGGCTGGTAGTACAACGCTGCCTGTCTTGTACAAGTACACTGCAGTTCTGTTCTAGACGCATTTCGATTTTCTAAATCGCTAAAGATAACAAACAGGTTTACCGTTTCAGTTTCGCATTACGATTACAGTTAGAAGTTTCGTTTTATTTCAAAATTACGTCTTCAGAGTTTTTATTAATATTATGTGTCTCACTCTATAACCGCGATCGAAGAAATTGTAAATTCCTCCAGCCCTTTCTGTACAAATAATAAAGAAATCTAAGAATAGCAAGGCGTATCCGTAGTGTTGTACCAACTTGAGAAATGGATCTGTATCTTTAGCAAAAACGATGTTTAGTTTTGGAATGTCTGCCCGTTTAGGTATGTACAAAATTTGATTAAAGCTTCAGTAGCCTTCAGAAGGAACAAATCTAAACAGCCTGATATCAAGTACGTACAAGAAACAGCAATGAAGATAAGCGGTGGTCTGAGATGAAATGCGATCGTCAAGCTCATCTTCTACTAAAGGCGATAGAAATTTTGTGCGAAAAGAAAAAACCAAACCAAAAAAGATCAATCTAAAGAACCAGGACACAATGGTTCTTAAAATTGACTTGGATCCAATAAAACCGATCATACCTCCAAGCAGATCTGCAAAAGTACAAAATGGATCCGATTGCGTGGTCGTGATATGTTACAGACCCGGCTGCCGCGATCCGAACAAGAAAACCAAGTTCATTTGCGAGCTGTTTCTGTTTCAACAGGATCTTGTAACGACGCATACATTAAAATTTAGTTCTGCTTTTGATACGCATTCGCGGCCGCAGGAAAAACAAGTCCCCTTCTTTACTCCTGTTACCGTAATACAGATTCTTTTTTCAAACTTTTTTAACGCAGCCCTTTTCATCTTCGCTACAGCACGATCTTTTATCTCTCGAAAACCCAAACACATAGCCTAAATCATGCCCTCCACCACGTCCCCCGCAATGGACAAGATGGCGAAAGACTTGCACAACATGACGCTGGACAATATCAAAGAAGTCACCGGCCACGACCCGGAGGCGAAGCCCAAACCTTCCACTTTCAAGTACCTCTACGTCCCCGCGGTCGCAACCGATCCGATTGAGGAACTGGAATTCCACGGCGTCGCGGAACTAGGAGAAGACGGGTTTATTGAGTTGCTGAAAAAACACTTCGCGAAATCCACCGCGAACGTGGACGGAGAGGTCGCAACCGTGGATAAAGACGTATTAAAGCAGAATCTGCTTTCTCATACGAAGAAAAACAACAATGCTGCTGATGCGGGAAAGGCTGCTGCTGCAAAAGGACAACCCGATGTGGGGATTTCCGCGGACCAGATCAACAACCTCTCGCCGGAAATGATGGAACAAATCACCCTGATGCAAACCGTGGACATCTTCCCTTTGTGTTTACCAACGGAAAAGTCGAAGCACATCGGCGTGAACGTTTATGTCGACGATAAGGGCATCGCGAAAAAACTCCCGAAAAATACGCGGGTCACGGATTTTGTGAACCAAATCGGCTACGGGCAGATTTTCCACGGGGATGCGTTTCTAGGTCATATCCTGAGTAAAAACGTACCCACACCAGAGTTGTAATGCAGATTCGCAAAGACAGGAAGACTTGTAATGCGCATCCCCATGAGAGCCATTTCCAATCGTGTTTTGGAATTTGTGATGCTGTGAACAGGATGAGCAGATGAATCTGTGATGCGGCTGCACTTGCTAACCTGCACTACACTGCATAGTGCAACTTGTCATGCGTGACTCACAAAACTCCTAGGTTTGTGTTGCAAAATCCTCATCCTGACTCTGGTGTGGGTACGTTTTTACTCAGGATAGGTCGGGTGGAAGATTCAGAGAAGGATGACATTTGGAAGAGAAGGGATTTCAAACTGACGGATATGAGGTATAGAAAATGTTTGATGATTTAGATTCGCTGCAATGTTGGGAACAGAATCTTTTTTGATCTGTAATAAACTAACTGTTCAGATCTGTAAAAATACTAACTCTCGTTCATGACAGATGGTCTTCTGCAACACAAATTTAAATTTGCAAACATGAAATCTAAAACAACAGCCTGACCTGCGACTGGGCCAAGGCTGCGGCGCACCAAATCAAAACCAAGTCGACCGCGCAAGACATGCAGCAACAGTACCAGCAGCAGAACCCGAACCTCGCCAACCTGATGAACCTTCCTGGCATGGGGCAGCAGGCGATTACAACTGGAAGTCAGGACACTTCCCCGAAAGAAAACGTCGTTTATAGAACGAAAGACGGGGTCGAGACAACCAACAAATCCGAAGGCGCAATTCTCTACGAGTGGCGGGACGCTGGATCAGAATTGGAAGTTTCTTTCCCGCTGTCGGCGATCAGCTTTGAGGACCAGGAGACCAAACCGACGTCTTATGATAAAAAGAAAGTCAAGGTGGTTTTTAAAACGCAGAATTTAGAAGTGTTGTACGACAAGGTCTCGGTTTTTAAAGCTTCTCTATTCGATTCCGTCGACGTGGACGATTGCACGTGGTATTTAACGGACAAAAACGCATCGTTGATGGTCTCGCTGGCGAAGAAAAACAGCGGGAAAAGCTGGAAGAAATTGGCGAAAGTACCGGGGGCTTGAGGTTGGAATTCTCTGTGCGGACGAGTTAAAGCACAGCTATAAGTTTAAGTCCGCCATGGAACCACCAGTGGTTGAAATCTAAAGAATTCTAAACGCGACTGCTTGGTCCTGTATGGCGAGTTTTTGTTTTGCCGGACAATTTGGAGAAGCAGAATTTGCGACACGCGGGGTTTGTGGAGGATTTGGTGATATGAACTGCAAAAGTATAGTACTCTAGAAATGCATTACAAATTTCCTTAGCATGAGAGATAAAATCTGTAATGCGGATTTACCTTACGAAAAAGATTTGCAATGCGTGATTTTGCAATACGAGGACGATACTTTTGCACAGAATAGGCGAAAATTCTAGACCAGGCGATCGAATCCACCGTGTCAGCTGCTGGAACCAGCACGGGGGCTTGTGGTACGAGTAGTACTTCAGGAGAAGTTGTACAGGGGGCAGAAGCAGCAGGTACTACAACGGAAATGCAAGACAAAGTGTCGAAAGAGACTACCACGGCGAAAACCGCGTCTTCTCAAAGTAAATCCCGGCTAGAAAAGGTGAAACTGGTTTTAAATCAGTACACCGAGCACCAAACAAAGCACATCGACGCAAGGAGCTCACTATCAACTGCAAACATGTCGGGGTCTGGAAGGGTTTGCAAGTTTGTCATGCATCTTTTGGATCTCACAGATGCTCTGGAATGCGCGCAAGAGCATGAGAAGCTCGGATTTGTTCAGGTCTCCTGATGCCGACTCTGCATGAGAAGCTTGCTATTTGCAGTTCAAAAAGTGAACAGCTTCTGGAGGCTTTCATGCAACACAGATTCTTGCGTAATCCAGAGTTTGCATGACAAGTTTGGATTCTTCCAGACCCAGACATATTTGCAATGCATACTCGCCAACGACAAGCATTCCGAGTAGGCAGGGTGCCAAGCAGAAAGCCGCGGAGTTAGAGACGCTGTTGGGGCTGCAACTGAAGTATGCATTGCAAATATGTCTGGGTCTGGAAATAGATGCAGGGTTTGTCATGCTCTGCTAGCATGATTCTCAAGTTTGTCTTGCGCGTTACCAAACAGCGCCGTTCTTTTCTCAGGCAGAAGCCCGGTTTGTCATGCAGAATAGACAACGCTGAAGCATCTGCAAAACTTGTCATGCTTGGCAGCCAATTGAGGTGTGCTGGTCTTTCTCCCACCAGCATCACAAGTTTCCAGATCCAGACATATTTGCAACGCATATGAAGATGCTGGCGGAGACGCCAGAGGAGGAAAAAGATACGCTCTGGACGTTGCCGGTGATTTGAGAAAGAGAATTTTCGCGTACAGCCGCAGCTTTGTTTTCAAAGACAATAAATTTATTCACCACGCAGACGTATTAGGCAACAAGGTGCAACAAATGAGTTTCTTGCGTCGAAGAACCTGGTGAGAATACAGAAGTTGTGAAGGACTAATTATGTTATACTATGTTGGAAAACCAGTGCTAACGCTAAGTGGCATTTTTGCAAGTGCCGCTGGTCGTGGAGGGTGCGGAACAAAGTTGCGTCCTACCAAGCGCGACTGTACATCCTCCTCTGTCACACTGATAGATGTCTATCGTGATGTTCCCCTGCTGCAAATTAAAGACACCGTCGACCGGGAACTTCTAGAGCAACACTTTGGACGACGTAAAGTCCACTCATCCTACCTTGCTGAATGAAATAGGAGATATACCGACGCTAATCTTCACGCATGAAATGTGCTGGATCACGCCAAAGCAGATTCCTCACTCAGCTGCAGCCAAGCTGCAAAATCAATTGGCAAAGACCTGCTCGTGGTCTTTGCGAAAAAATACCGAAATAAACAGGACCACGAACGGAAACAGAAATCTCGATAAAGGTAGAGACTCGAAAACTTTTACGAAATCTATGGTCTGGAAGTGAATAAAGTTTTTCAACCATTTATCCGTCTTTTTTTCGGGCTCCTTTCACACTTGCTCTCGTTTGCTATTGCTAGCACTTCTTGTCGCCGAAATTTTACACAGCGGACTTGAGTATTTTGGTTTTTTCAATCGAAAATCGCTACTGCCGCCATTCTTTCTACTATTTGGAAGTTTATTTCACACCTCGCACTTAATACCCCGTGGAACAATACAAACACTTCCTTTATTTAATAGTAGAAAAGCCAGATGCAAGGCGGCCGCGCTAGTGGTGTTTTTATTGCTACATTGTTTTTCCTTACAAAAAGAAAAAGCAATGAAATAGCGGCTTTAATACACTGACACCCCGCCGCCCGGCATCATGTCAGCCGCTGCCTCTGCCGCTTCCAGCACCACCACCACCATGGTGGTGCAGCAAATCCAGCAAAAAGACCACTTGGAAAAGCAGAAGAAGCAAAGCGGAATAAATGCAGCGCTCAACCTGGCCGATGGTACTCAGCAGCAAGCAACGAGCCCTTTGGAAGACCAACTGTCCATGCTGACTTTTATGCTGCAAGACAACGACGATGTTATCATGGATCTACTACCGCTAAACGCGAAGCAAACCGTCACAAACGACATGAAAAACATCATCCTCACGATTTTTCGCAGCATGATGGGAAGGTTGAAAGAGTACCGGGACGCGTTCATAAACCAAGTGCAACAGCATCAACAACAGCAGGCGGGAATAACTCATCTTGTTATGCAGCAGCAAAACCAGCAACATGGTATCAACTTCAAAAATTTCAAACTTGAGCAACTCCACACACTACTAGACATTTTGTCCCGGCTCTGCGACAATCACCCAGACTTCGCGGCGCAACTCGCTTCCTATGACAGTGCACAACCCCCCCTCCCCCTCATTTGTCATGCAAAATACCCAATCCACCCTTTGCCTGTTGGCACTGTTTGCATGACAAGATCTCGCAGCCCAAATAGCACTGTACTCCAGTGCAAATTTGTCATGCAAGACCGGCACTCTTCCTGATGCTTGTATTGCCGTTCATGCTATACAAATGAGGCAGAGGGGGAGTTGTGCACTGTTATACTTCCGGTGCGGAAATGAACGCAGCGGATCACACCACAGCTTCGAGTACTTATCAAATGCAAATATGTCTGGGTCTGGAAACTTGTAATGCTAAAAGTGAATGATAGATGCGCCGCAATACGCAGCTATGCATGACAAATTTTGTAGTGGCTGCCATGTCTTACGTATTCCGCAAGGCAAGCTGCCTTTTCGCATGACAGTTAGGATGGCTCTTTCGTGCCTATGCAACACAGATTCTCGAGTCATGCCAGACAAGCATGACAAACTTGCACTCTTCCAGACCCAGACATTTTTGCATTTGATAGTACTGGCAGCACGAACTCGAACCCAGCCGGAGACAAGATCATCTACCATGAGATAATCCTCTCGTTGACAAAAGCGGTGTCTACCCTCGCGTCAACGACGCCCACGTCAACTTTATCATCCCCGTCTGACTTGAGCAACAGCAATACGATGAACATGAACAATGACACCAACGACCAAGACGCGCAGGACGTGCTGTGGCGGTTGACATGGTTAGTCTTATGCTACAAGGGACTCCCAGGGGTTACGGAGTTGCAGGACCTTCCCGGGAGCCCTGCCATGTCGAATTTGACGACAACGCAGGCGCTGCGGTTGTACTATAATATTTGGTACAATTTGTCCAATAAGACGAAAAGGCTTCCCGCCAGTGCCCAGCTCCACGATCAAAACTCGTTGACCCACGGGAAAAAATTGGTGGCGAGCATGCTGGAAAAGATGTTCCCGATCTTGGACTCGCTGTTTCGAGATTTTGAGATGTTCAAACCAGGAGGTAATTTTTCTCAGACCGGTGGTGTTACAAGTACAACTACAGGGAACAACAACAGTCTTCAGCATCTTTCAGGCGAAGCACGGGAGAAGAAGCTCGCTCTGGACAATTTGGAAGCGAATATTGAGTATTGCCAGCAGCTACTTACCCGGGTTTTGGACTTTGCCACTGATGTTTTCAAAAAGGAAAACAGCGAATATTTCTTGAATATCTACGACGCGGGTCGAGATTGGCGACATTTGGAAGACAATCATCGGCAAAGGGTACAAACGGAAAGGTTGCAGTTGATGATATTGCTCGTGCGTTTGTTTTATGCAATGCAATAAAAGTATCGTACTAGTATAAATCGCATGACAAATTTGCTCAGCATGAGAAATAAGATTTGTCATGCTGTTTTACCTTGGAAAGGAGATTTGTAATGCATGATTGCAATTAATACTACGAGTGCGATACTTTTGCACTGGATATGTTTTGTGGATGAGAACGTAGTGAAGGTGATTCTCAACATTGGGAAACGGCTGGGACGGCAGATCGTGTGACAAGGAACATGATGATTTGGTATAGCGAGCAAAATAGAAAACCAAAACGAAAACAGGTGCGTAGCGGTCGCAGAAGACTTCTACGAACAAAGAATTAAGTAGATTGAGTACAGCGATGAAGAACATGAATTAGAGTAAAGCATTTAAACGATCCAAACATGATGTAACGCAGTAAACGTTGTTGCTAGTAGGATCCACCTCCAGATGTGGCTCTTGATACTTACCCATTCTCCCAAAAAGAAGTCTTGAAGTTGTATCAGCGTTGGCGCCGCGACCACGACCTATTCCGTGAGCAGTCCTTGTCCTGCCACGCGAAGTGATCGTGATGTTCTTTCTAGTGTGCTGCTTGGAGCAAACGGAACAAGCGAAAATAAACACAGTGCAGGTTGATGCCTTCTGAGCTCGATGTTGAGTCTAGAAGTGGACCGCTACTCTGAGTGCAGCGAGCGTATAGCGTTGTGGGTGGTTTCTTGTTCGAGAAGATGAGATTGCTTATTGTGTTGAGGTTTACTTTTGGAGAGGGTCTACTCTTGGGGTTCTTTCCTGGGGAGGAGTAGCGCAGTGGTTGGTGTGCATGCTACAATTTTGAGATTTTAATCGGGCTGTAGATAGAAGCTGAAAACTAGCATCACATCAAATTTCCATTTTCAATGCCATCGCCTCTAGTACGACCACCACCTAGCATAATTTCTTGACAAGCTACTACACTCATCGATTTAATACCCAGAACAACAAGATCTAGACCGACAAGGGAAAAGAACATGAAGAAGCGAAGTAAACGTAAGTATAATAACTCACGAGACCACCCGATGAAATCAAATGCTAGTTGCAAGCAGAAGAAAGAACCGCTTGGTCCTGTATGGCGAGTTTTTGTTTTGCCGGACACCTGCAACCACCAAAGCACACCTGATTCGCCTCCCACACATCGTTGAGGTAGTCCTCCAGATTCAGATGATCATTACCAGGCCAGGCCCATTTGTTCTTGCGAACGCTCGTCCCACGAACTCTTACGCCCGCCTCCAGGGTCTGCCAGTGTTCGCGGGTGCCCGTTTTTCCGTATTGATCTTTTCCGTACCGGCACGGGTCTTCCATGTGAGCTGGAAGAGGTTGGATGTTCTGGTTCTGAAACAGGTCATCCGTGTCCGGTAGCCAGCGACCGGCCTTCGGCCGCGGGTGGTTTATGGGGTAGCAAATCTTGTTGGCCAGGTAGTTGACGGTGCCTTCGTCGTGGCAAGAGGCACAAATATTTCCGTGTGGTTCCGTGCAAGCGGCTCCGGTCGCCGGAAAGCCATGCTCGCACCCGCAGGTGTAGCCGAAATCATGCAGGGGTCCGAGCGACAAACCTTCTTGCGATGGAGCGCCCCAAGTATTGTTCAGCAGGAGCGCCGTGTATCCACTGCAAAAGCATAAAGCATCGCACTCGTACCAAAATAAATCGCAGAAGTTGTACTCATCTACTTGTTCATCTTCTACCTGATCTAGCATAGCACATTGCAGCACTTTTCTTGAAGATGAGAAAATTTGTTACATATGCGAAAATTTGTACACAGGAGTAGGATGCTTTTATTGCAATGCATACTTGGATGTCCTGGACCGCCTCCAACTCCTTCTTCGACACGTCACGACCCTGACCGAGACCACCTACTGACTTATTATCACCATCATTTGAAGACTTCTTCGCAGCTGGTGGGGGAGGTACATGGCTCTTGTTCCGGAACGCGATTAGTTGGTGCGAAGAATGATCATCCTGTGCAGGAGCTGTTCCTAATAGATCGCCGCAACAAGAAGGCGACAGGTCTACTACGTCTTTGCCCTGCTTTTGTTTCTGATTCTGTTCTAAAAAGTTCAGGTTCTGTTCGTGTCCACGACCTTGAGGTTGAGGGGGATGCTCTTCTACAACTATTTCCGCCGGACCCGGAGGTTCTGGAGGTTCTACATCTACTCCCGCTGCTGGGATCGTTTCGTCGTCCTGAGAAGCTGTCGTTCTCCTCCTGCTAGTACCACGGGGGTCGTCGTGCACCAGGTGCTCTTGATCCACCTCACGCCCATGTTCTCGTCCATCTTCAAGTTGTTCGACCACAGAGGTAGTTCTTGCCTTCGATAAAGCAATAGCGGTGTCATCCGGGTTGTGTTGGAGAAAAACTTTATTTTGGGATGAAGCCTCCGAAGATGCAACCATCCGCGTCCTCCGAAGATGCAACCATCCTAAAGAATTCTAAACGCGACTGCTTGGTCCTGTATGGCGAGTTTTTGTTTTGCCGGACAGAATGACAGATAGCGACATGTTCACAAAAGAAATTGAACAGCAGATGATGGGCAGAAGCTGCAACAATTCTACAGACGCAATTGCAACTCCTGTATGTACTGACTACAAGCGCAAACTCACAAACAGTTTCCCTGTCATTTAGACGCAATTTTGAAGACCACGCACTCGTAAAAGTTGTTCGTGCAGAGTAGCTTCCGTGAGAAAGAAAAACAATTTCCCGTCAAAGTCGGTGGAAAAAAACCGAAAAATTTCGGTGTGTTTCTGGGTTTTTTTTGCCGGAGTGAGCAAAGCCTTTTTATGGAGTGTGCCAGACGGAGAGAAGTTTTCGTTTTATGCAATCAGACTGTTTGGCAAGGTATTTAGAGCGAGCCTTTCCTTTTTCTGAGCGATAAGTTGAGTTCATGTGTTTGAGAAGTTTTAGGGATGCAAACACACAACATCGTCTGGGGAATATTCGTGATTTCAGAATTTAAACGTCGCACTACGTCTCCGATATCTCTACGATTTGTTACCCCATCATGAGCAGGAACCAACCATTAAGTACATTAGGCCCGTCAAACTACAGCCCCCCCCCCCTCCATTTATTTCGCTGAAGTAGTCTACATCGCAAACTTAAATTCGTTCTGTCTGCATAAGGGCAGTACATACAAATTCAAAACATCCTCCTTCCAATCAACCAACCGTAGCAGAAGAAAAACTTTTTTTTTTCGTCTTGTTTCGAAGACAAAGCAAACAAAAATGGGTGCCTGTGGTGGCAAAGAAGCAAAGCCCGCGGCTGATTCCGCCCCGGCGGCTGAGGCCCCGAAGGCTGAGACCGCTACCCCGCCTCAGATGGAGGCTGGCAAGGTATAGTAGAGATGGATCTTTTTGTGTGTTTTGCATGACAAAGTAGATTGAACTTGTTATGTTTTGTGAATGCAGGATTGCGCATGAGAAATTGCGATAGAAATCGCTGTCTTGCATCACAAATACAAACTTTTCAAAACATCATCAGGTCACCGACGCTCACTCCGCCCTGCTCGTGAAGGCCTTCGTCAACATGGCTGACGTATGGGACTGAGGAACCTTTACGAGTAGTTTCCATTGCTATTCCAGCCTGACCAGGTGCTGACATGATTCCTTTTCAGCATGACAAATTGAGCTCCTGCGCAGACGTGGTGTTAATGCTGTCTATGAGTGACAGGAATCTGTGATGGTGAGAGTACCAAGACAGGGTACAACTTTGTATCAAAAAACTGCATGAGAAACTACTATAATCCACTTTTCCATTTCATAAATCGCCGAAGTGTTGAAGTCCTGCTGCACCGAGGACGCCTGGATGTCGCCACCCGGCGCACCGAAAGTATAAATGGTTGGTATGTACAACGACGCATGACAGATGGTTGTCTTTCGAATGTGTGCATGACAGATTTAGATTTCGAAATAGCGTAATGCTGTTCTCGCATGATGAATTGAAACTTAAATCACATACACAAACTCCAGTTCTCGATCGAGGAAATGTCCGGCATGCTCGCTGGTTACAAGGGCACCTTCCCGGACTGGGTCTCCCTCTGCCCCGCTGACAAGATCACCTTCGTGTCCGAGACCGACATACGACAAGGAAGAAAAGTGTTATCACCATCATTATTCGTGTGCTGAGCATGAGGAGTTTAGCTTTTGATTGAAATTACGCATCACAAGCTGCTGGTAGATGTGCTTCTAACTTGAGCGCGGCGTTGAGAACAAACTTGTGTTGCGCAAATCCACAACACAAATACTAAACCAAGATCCGTCTTGCGAGTTATGCATGACAAACTGATGGTGACAGCACAAGCATTTTTCGTTTTCATAACACACCGAGGTCGTCTACAAGGTGTTCACCCAGCAGAACATTGGCCTGATGAAGGCGGATCTCCCGGCCATGGGTATTTATTTGTCATGCTTGACTGCATTGATTCAAGATAAAATTGTTCTCAGTCTTGCATGAGAAATGCTAAAAGCAGGTTGGTAAGTCTGTAATGCGGATTTTTGCATGGCAGAGCCAGTGTAGTTCCTAGTGTAAGTATACACACCCCAAACTCTACAGGTCCGTTTCCCGCCTGCACCATGGATGAGGCCCCGGCCCGCCCGAAGGAGACCCCGACCGTCATTATGGCGTTCTCAACCGTTACATGCTCAACTCTTACACGATTTGTCATGCAAAACTCTCACCAGCATCTACACCATCAAGCTGCTTCGCATGACAAATTTCCGAAGGGCTAAACAGCATGTAAATCTGTGCCAAACCTGTATTGCAAGACGCGCAATCTTCCCCCTTCCACTCTTGCTATTTTTGCATCACAAAGTCATGTAACAGTTGAGCATGTGACGTTTGAGACCTCCATAGTCCTGCCGTTCGAATCTGGTCTCGTCACCGTCAACAAGGAGAAGGGCCTGATCGTGTCCGGCGCGTTATGAAAAGGAGAATGCAAACTTTTCGTTTTGGTCGGAAACGGAATGCATTGCTGCATGACAAAATCGACTTAGAATCTTGCCTTTGCATGAGAAGTAATCGGAATCTGCTGTCGAGCCCAGATTTTGCGTTGCGTGAACTACAATAAATCTCAGTCATTTTTGTGTATGTTCAAAACGAAAATGCATTACAAATTCTCTCGTTCGATACTTCTGGACCGGCGAGCTCGGAGAGGAGGCCGGCGCCACCACGATGGACTTCGAGCCCAAGGTCGGCATGGTCATGCTGTACGAGAAACTGCTCGGCTTGAAGATGCCCGAGCCGCCAGCGGCTGAGGAGGCCAAGGCCGAGTAAACTACGAACTGCGCATGATGAACGTGAAATTTCTTCACTAGAACCAAGCATTCCGTTAGAAGGAGAGCGGGCTGTTAGATTAGTGTAAGATTCGCAACACATTCAAGCAGTAGTTTACGCTTGTGAACAACGATGTCAGGTTTAGTACGGTCAACTACGAGATATTAACTTTTTTACGATAAGAATCAGACAATAGGAATCGGAATAATCAGACAATGTTTCAGGAGAATAACATCAGACACAACATTTGTAAGTACTAGGATGAACACGGAGAAAACTTGGAAGCAGAGATAGTCCCTTATCGCTGAATCCAGGTGGATCCAATACTTACACACAAGGTTTTACACGAAATTTGTACATCAGATTTATTTAACAACCTTCTACGCTAAAACTTTCTACCCAACAATTGCAAAATCTCTACCTAATCAAACTACATTAAGTTTCAACAGAATCTTCAAAACAGTATTCCCTGTTCAGTTCTATCTTTTCATCAAAATGCACCTTTTCCAATTTGCACAAACGCGTTTGAGCGAGACAAATCATAGTTTACAATAGCCTTGTCTACTAAGTTTGTTCATATTTTCCATATGCGAACCTCTTTTGGTTTGTAAGAAACTGCTGCTATCTCAATCTCTTCGCGGTGTCGGTCTCAACATTCCGGTAGTCTTTAGAAATTCAGATTCACAGTTTCCGTGGTCTCACGCATGATATAGCACTGTCGCTATTAAGATAAGCCAGATATTGATATTAAGGTGGTGCCACGAGGAGGATAAAAAGTCATTCCGAGCACTAGCAGAAAAAACCCAAAGCAGCTGCAAAGACGTGAATGATTTGTGCCATCGTCTGGATATGTGCATAAGAATGTCAAAAAAGCATGGGAGATGCTACTCGGCTGAGATTATCAATCTCCCGCATCTTGTGCTGTGAGATCTACCGTTGAAGTGCATCGTCTTCGGTGAATACGTGTGCGTGTTCTGTCGCTTGGCACCAGTGTGACTGGCCCGTAATCTTTACTCCTAGTCGGTCGTGGTGAAAGATGGAGATGTGCGTGTGGTACAAGTGGTACAAAAGTTCACCAAATTTGCGGTAGAAGATGGGCTCCGTGCCGGGTTGAGGTTGTAGCTTAGCGCAGGAGTTAAAGATGTCTCGTCTGTTGTCGTCGTGCGTGTCTATCGCTGCTTGGACGATCTCTTTACGGCCTTGGTCTACCCACGACATTGGGAACGTGCAACGTGTTGCTGGTTTGTCTCTGTCAAAAAGAAAGGGCCGTCGCACATCAAACGGTGAACAGCGTCGGAGGCAGACTGAAAACTTCTACATTGGCACACCGAGAGTGGATGTTGTTAATCCAACATCGAGCGGCTCATCAGCCGAGCAGCCTTCCGGAGGACTACCACGGTCCTCGGGCGTGCAACCGACGTCCATCACGAGCGGAAGTTCGAGCCGTAATCTTCACGGGAACGTTCATAGCGGACCTTCGTCTAGCCACGAGCCGTTCGGGGTAGGCGGACCACGCGGAGGTGGACCAACTGTTGGGTATGGTGGATCCTCCAGTTCCACGACTGGGCTTCGTGAAGCGACGGTTTTGTCTACACGACAGACAAGCAGACATCCTGCCTTGGGGTCCACCAGCACGACCGGATCATCATCATCGAGCTCCAGCAGTGCCACTTTGAGCGAGTTGCACGAGCGTGCACAGCAAGCTTTGTTGGACCGCAGCGGAGAGAGCCTGCGAACCTGCCTGGCAAGTTGCCCCAGCTGGAAAAGCATAGAGGGCGATAATCCACCGCCTCAAGAAACAGGCAGCAGGAGGTGCTCTGGAGCTCATGTGGTCAGCACCGATGTTGAAGAAGAGTACATGGACGACGACAACAGCCCGGACATCGATTCCAATAAATTCTTCTGCGCACTCTGCCTTGAGGGCTTCGACGAGAAATCTAACCCTGCTGCCGCAATGTCGTTTTGCGCCTGCACTGCAGCTGGTGCAGCAGCAGACGACGCTTTTCTCTCATCCAGCAGGAACAAACGCACCGCCTGGGGTGAGCTCCCCGTCTGCCAGCATCGCTTTCACCTATCCTGTCTCCGCCAGTTGGTGGAGCACTGCGAGCGGGATCCGAGCCTGGCAGTGCAGCAAACACAGGTGAATTCCGCACATGATGACATGGAAGCGATTTACGAGGAGTTCATTAACGGACAAAGGATGCGCATCTCCACTGCGAGAACATCAAACGGTCAAATGGACCACAATGTCGGAACGCCAACCAGCGGTCCGCCACGGGGACATCGAGCAGCCTTGGCCAGACCCTACGACCAGCAGGATAATGAGGATTTAGTTCTCCCGATACCGGAAAGACGACGTCGGAGAGACCAAAACGACCGAGGAGGGTCATTATTCCCGCCACGAAGTAGTGGTGCTCGCACGAGCGGATGGCGAAGGCGGCAGCGGCAACAACTCGCAGCGCAGAACCAGCGAAGGGACGAAGAAGAACGACAAGAAGCAGAACAACGATTATCCGCAACACAAATTACCGATCGAAACGACCGGGAGCAGCGGTTGGCGAATCTTTTAGGCGCGGCCCGGTACATCAACGCGACAACTGGAACAATGACAGCACACCGGGATGAAGCAGATGATGTTGAAGACGCTATCCTCCACCCAGCGAGACAAATTCACGACCATATGATGCTTTTGGTCTCTGTTATCGACCCCCGGTCGGTGCAGCAGCTGCGGGGTGGTGAAAATCAAAATCTAGCGGAAATCGACCGGTATGACAACCCGTTTTTCACGGCGAGGAGAAGGGACGATATTAACGGGGAAGATCTTCATGGCTCTGGAACAAGAAGGCCTCGACACAGAAGAACACCCTCACCGTCCGAGGAGTCGCATGAACGCGGTTTCCCAACAAGGAGAACGCAGACAATTTTAGCCACCGTACCAATCCCCAGGATCCTCGACTACGAGCGGCGGAGGCATGAAATGTTGTACGGTCCGGGGAGTTGGGACCGGAACAACGATGATATCGAATTCACGGATCAGGGAACCAGTAGAACATCGAATGAGACCAGCATCTTCGCGGGATCTTCGGCGTTTCGGACCGTTCTGAACCTGATGTGGGGCGGGGGACCGCCGAGCGGCGCGGCGACTAGTGGTGATAATGCTAGCGCGAGATTGGATTTGGAAGAAAGAGTCCGGCAAACGCTAGCGAAACGGCAGAGAAATCGAGACTACCATCAACTGCTGGGGGAGTTGCTTCTTCGGATCCAGCTTCTGCCGAGACAAGAACGTGCCAGCGGGCATTCTGGAGCCGCGACTGCACCCACGGAGCAAGAGCGCAGGATTCGGGCGTTAGAATATCAAGTGCAAGAAATATGTCTGGTTCTGGAAGAACGGAACTTGTACTGCGCATAAGGGATACTTGCAGTTCCTGAGAAATTGAAATCTGTGTTGCATGAGCAGCAAGAGTGACGTATGAGCAGCTTTTTTGTCATAGAAAAACGGAACGCGCAACTCGTGCTAGGCATCAGAAAGCGTTTCAGAAAGAAGTTGTCATGCTTGACCGCCATGGCAAGTAGAAGTATTGCAATCATCCGCATGAGAACTCATCATCACAGGTTTAGTTCAGAAGATCCAGATCGATATATTAATTTGCAACATGCATACAAAAGCGGTTGATACGCACATGACGTTCGACGACCCCGACCTTACCGATGACGACCGGATGCCGCAATTCCTGGTCGAGCCTGGGTTTTTAGAAAACCTGATCCATTCCATCGTGGAGAAGGTTTCCAACAATCTCCCGACCTTCCGGTCCTCCGCCTGTACGAAGCATCCTAAGAAATTGGAAGACGTTCTGGCGAAAATTTCTGCGTCCAGGAAACGAGTCCCCTGTCCACTGTGTAGAAAACCGGTGCCGAATAGTTTGATTGGCCACTGGTTGGTGCAAGATTGGATTTTGGAACAGGAGGAAGAAGAGCTGGTGTTGTCTCATCTTTCGCGGCCTTCCAAGGAAAAACATGAACATCAAATTGGTGCTGGATCATCTAGTTCGCCTTCCGGTGCCTCTTCGTCTTCTTCTAGTACTTGGCAATTATCGTCCACAACTGCGACGACGCCCGCGTCTTCTTCTTCTACTTCCGGTCGTAATGGTGCAACAGCAGCTCGTGCTCCGATTTCGTCCCCTTCAAAAGCGATTTTGGCCAAAGCGAGAAAGTCACAGACGAATACTATTACAGATTGGACTGCCACACCGACCAAAAAATCCTTCTCGGAGATGATCGATGAACACGACAACAAAAACGGCAGTCCCCAAAGGGACCGGCTACTGCATTTAATGGACTTAACCGGGCTGAAGGCGGAGGACATGGTGATTAAAAACTGCCCGGTGAGGTGTTACAAATTCCAGCCGTTGGCGGAGGATACGATGGTTCTACCCGTGCATCATCGACTGGACTCGGAAGACACGGACGCGGATGATGTTGAGGCGGGCAGAAGCGGACCGAGGACAAGCGCGAGAGGAGGTCGCAGTCGCACAAGTGGAACGTCGCATGCTAGACACGCAAGAGGACGGCATGAACGCGACGGCTCCCACTCCTATCTGAACTACGACGGGACCACACCAAGAACTCCGGGTGGTCGAGTCCCTGTTGCGGAGGATATGCAATACAAATTTTCCGTACATGTACAAGATGCGTCACAAATTTCACCAAGTTGGAGTGTGCTGACACTTGTCATGCTAAACCAGGATCGAAGCCTCGTTTTGTCATGCAGAGACCGCATTTGTACGTCGTGCACGGGAAATTTACTGTGGATAGAGGACGACCACATGACATACTCCTTCGTCTGCTTTATGGAAAGGATCGGCGCGGCGATGAATTTTGGGCTGGGGAACTGCTGCGCGGGACCACGGTCTTCGGGGACGTATTGAAATAGAGGCATGCAGGTATAATATTACCACTTCTGGTCGAAAACAAAAACGTCTTTGTCTGGTAAACTAATTTTGATACAACACAAATTTCAATTTCTTCATATTGAACTTTTGTAAAACATTTGACATCGTTTGAGAATACAAACATTCGCCTGCTGAAAAGACAAAAACTACTGTTTCACGATTTTTGCAACCAGTCTCTGTTAATAAGACGATAATGCTAGACGATTGAAATTTTGATGTATCCATCACTGGGTGTGTGATTTTCGGAGCAGGGCCGCGCACCCATGCACATGAAGATATGACGGGTGCACCCACTTCGGTCCGCCGGGTGGTTCTGCGAATTTGACGCAAGTCTCTCGACTGCACCAGGACGTTGTTGCTTGATCGGTTTATTTTCAAAACTACTGTCTGTTTCGTGCAACTCCTTCTTCTGCTTTTTCGTAGGCTGCCTCAAACCTGACCACGCGCACACCAATTCGGTTTTCGTGCTGCAACCAAAGTGAATACGTCTCTTCTCCCGACGACAGCAGGTGCTGAAGATACGCAGGGGTAGTAGATCATAGCGCTTTTCAAAAAAGTTGAAGTTCGGCAGAAGCGAGGGAAAAAAAAAGCTACCACCTAAAAAAAACCACAGACGCCGTGGTAAAAAGTGTAGATAGTTCCGTGCCCTCGGTGTAAATTTAGTCTTCGTAGAACAGCACTGCTGCGCGGGAGAGTCTGCATGTCATAAAAATTAAAGTGTAAACAGCACGGGTTTAGGGTTTTTACATATGTAGTGGCGTCGGTAGAAACTAATTTACAGATCATTCTTGTAGAAACTCGTATATAGCACAGGGTTTAGGGAAAAGGCGTGTTTTCACGTCAGAGAGGCGACCACACTGCTCTTTTCTAGTCGTGTGCCAGGCTGCGAAAAGATGTAAGCCCGCTCCTGTCTATCGGGGAATTGAGTAAGAGGCAACGCCAATCACCACCTAATTGCACTGCCCCTGCGCCCGTGTGATCCCGCGATAGGTCATGACTACATGAGCAAGCAACAGGCTGTGCATAGTGCGGCAAGCGGCGGCAGCGGCCGGATAAGCTGAACAAGCGTGCGGGGACTGCGGTGGGGGATGGATGATCAGGGACGAACTTTTCTAGATGTTGGTGATATTCTTTTTGTATGCGGCGAGACGAAGACCATGGATTACGGTGGAGACCCATGGCACTAGAATAACTATGTATGACCCGACGCGTGCAAGAGTTGATCAAATGCAGGGGTAGTAGTATAGTTTTTGTTGTTCAGTAGCCGAAGGGATCATACAAACTTTAGTACAAGTCTAACAGAACCACTGACGCCGTGGTGCGAAAACAAAGAAAGAAATCGGTCCTGTAGATCCAAAAAAAAGTCTTTCCACATGCTCCAACTCTGCAGCGCGGGAATCAGGCATGCCCTAAAGTTAACGAAGGTAATTAGCACGGGTTTAGGGCTTTACATACATAGTAGCGTCGGTAGGAGCAAAAAAAAAATAAATGTACAGATCATCTTGTAGAAAACTTGTATATAGCACCGGGTTTAGGGTAATGGCGTGTTCTCACGTCGGAGAGGCGACCACACTGCCCCCTCCTAGTCGTGTGCCAGGTTGCGAAAAGATAGATGTAAAACCGCTCCTATCTATCGAGGGTTGGGGTAAGAGGCAACGCCAATCACCACCTATCTAAGCGCCTCGATCCTTCCAAGTCCAAGCGCCACCAATTCGGTTTTCGTGCTGCAACCAAAGTGAATACGTCTCTTCTTCTTCGTTCTTCAACCAAAATGTAACGCCAAACACGTGCTCCTGCTGTCCGTCGACCACTATGATGACGTCGTTTCGCTTTTCCAAAAAGCCCGCGCGGAGCTCGGCGAGATCCTCTCCGCCTACGAATTTTGGGATGCTGAATGCACGGAGAATTTGAGCAAGAATTTGCCGGACCTGCCCGCCATACCGGAGTTTTTACTGCCGGAGGGAAACGGAAAGCCGAAGTTCGGCGTTTTGGTCGAAACTTCTGGGTCCAATGCGGAGCACGACAGCGAGAAGTTGTTTCAGTTTCTCGAGTATGGAATGCAACAGTACCGTACTCGTAGGTAGTCGTGCATGACAAACCTAACTTTCTACCTGCTCTAGCTTGGCAGAGTAAGCTTCTTCCGAATCCAAAAAACCACATCTCGTTGCGGGTGAAGAAGCTTCGTTCGCTAAGGCGTGAGGCATTTTCTATCGAATTACACAAAGAAAGATCGCCAATGCTTGTTTCTTTCGTGCCGTATTTTTTTATTTTTGCATGCGCGCTGGACGGTGTCTTTGCCCTTTCCTAAAGCGCTAACATACGATCACGAACGGGTTTGAGAAGATGTGGATCCTGAGTATGCTTCAGCTTCAAGGAAGTGTCAGTTTTGAATAAGATGTTGGAGGAAAGAACCCTTCAGGTCTTATGTAAGGGATGAAGATCGCTTCTAGTAGCTTTTACTCTGCCTGTGTGCCTGAGTGATCATCCCACAGGCACATCTAGTTGCACCTTTACCAACGAAGATGATGATGATCGTGATGATCCGCCACGAAGATCTTGAACTTGCCCCGATTTTGAACAAACACATGATCAACCTGTTGATGTCGTCTTTTGCTCAGCCACAGTTGATAAGCTTGACGCGCATTCGACGCTTGTTACCGACTCACTAGCAGCAGGTCTGGCGCTGCAATTCAAAGTTGATTTCCTGTGGATAGGTGGGGTTTTTGCCTATGTGGTATTTGTTATAATCGTTACACCGTCAGGCCCATTCTCCGTTTACAATGCCAGATCCATTTTCAGAGTTTTCGCTTTAATTTCTCTTTGAAGGCTTCAGCTGTCTTGATCTCGTGCAATTTATTACGAACCAGGGAGCTGCCAAATCCAAAATGGCGATGAGGATAAAAATTCCGATAAAAACAAAATCAAGTGAATGCCGCACACCAAGTGAATACGTCTCTTCTTCTGTAACCAAAGTGAATACGTCTCTTCTTCTGTAACCAAAGTGAATACGTCTCTTCTTCTGTAACCAAAGTGAATACGTCTCTTCTTCTGTGCTGCAACCAAAGTGAATACGTCTCCTCTTCCGTCGGTCCTGCTTTCGTAGACCTTCAAGTCGCTAGCGCTTGAGGCAGCGATTGCTTTGAAGACGCAGATACTTGTCGACCCGGCCCCGTTTATTGCCGCTACGAAGTCACGCAGAAAGCCGAGGGCTCCCGTTGTTTACGTAAGAGGAGCCAGCTCGTAGAGTGAGCCGAAAGTAGTAGTGAGCGTTAGTTGAAAGGAAGAAGTTATTATAGCGAAAAAAAACTAAAAACACACAAAAAAAAAAGAGCAGTTACAGTAGAACTAGTGTACTAAAAGCCAAGCGCGCGTAGTGCTTGCCTTTCCTTCCCTTTTTTCTCTTCTTTTTTCACTTGTTTAAATGGAGCTCGTGGTGCGATATGGTGAAGAGAGCCAGTTGGAGCGACCAACCATGCCCTCTTTGCAATATTTACGCTCTTCATGTTATTCGTTTAGACCTGGGTATCGTTGTGACGCGAGAGAGTTCTAAATGCTGTCCTTGTTCCGCCGGGCTAAATCGGTGACTCTGACGTTTTTTTTATGGAAGGTTAGGTAAAAGTCGTGCACTCAGGTCGGCGGGTTTAGGACTTCGCTTTTCTGTATCTTTACTAACTCATACAGCACGACTTGTCCCCACCTATATCGGTCGATTTAGACTTTACAAGGCAAGGAAAAAGCAGGAAGTCTGCCAATTTTCCTGTTTCTTTTCCTACTCGCCTTGTCCCCCTCTAAAAATGAATATTTGCAAAAATCAGAGATGCTTTTTTAGTGCTCTACGCGGCTTGATCTACATTTTATTTCTTTCGCGTGATCTAGTCCTGATCTGCGCGGCGCTAATCAAGATTGCTAATAATAAGATCCTCCCGACCTAAAATCTGATCTGTTAAGCCCCCAAGTTGTGTAGTATTGCGCTATGTTGTCTAGTCATTCACTTCTCACTACCATCAATCTATTACTTGATTCATTTTTTTACTGTCCCCAAAGTACTCAAAGGTTTTAAGGCTACCCAGGTATTTCAAATAGTTTAAGGCTTCCCAGGTTTTTCAAGTAGTTTATGGCTTCCCAAGTTTCCAGTTTTGCTGTCTGTTGAAAAAGAAAGAAGTTCGGTTTTCGTGCTGCAACCAAAGTGAATACGTCTCTTCTTCTGTCGGTCCTGCTCACGCACACCAATTCGGTTTTCGTTGGATGCGAAAGCCGAAAAAGAAGAAAGCTGGTGCAGGTGGTAGGGCTGTAGCTGTTGCGAAGTAGATTTTTGCTGCGTTCGTTGTTAACCTGCCTGGGGGACTTCAGTTTTTGAATAAGAGGACTTGTTCATCTCTGTTTTTGACACCGGAAAAAAGTAGTTCTAGAAGCAGAAATTTCGTTCGACCTATTTTCATAACCAACTCGGGTGAACTATTAAGCTTCCAAATTGTGTAATAATGTCGTGGAATTGTTACCATGTAGACCGGGCGACCTGTTTATCGATGTAACGCGAGAGAGTTCTCTTTGCTGTCCTTGGTCCGCCGGGCTATTTCGGTGATTCTGGCGTTTTTTGTATGGGCGATTTGGGAAAATCGTGGATTCAGGTCGGCGGGTTTAGGACCTTATTTTTTGCTCGAAGAAGAAGTTTATCGATATCGACTACCAGAAAATAAAAAACACAAAAAAAAAACCGTAACTCTCTAGGAGTGCAGTTTTTCTTTCTCTTTACAGCAAGGTAAAAGTCAAACTATCTGAGTTTGGCTTTCTTTTTTCTTTTACCTTTCTTTTTCTCAGTTGGGAGCTTTGCTAGTCCGCAACACGATGGTGTGCTGATGTGAGACGAGCGACGTCGTGTTTTGTCTCTCTTGGTAGCTCCGTTGTTTATGAACTTGCGATGCTATTACACGAACGTAATTACAGAAGTGAGAGTTTTAAACTTGATCGTCGGGAAAGGACCGCAGTACGTGTTAAAGGCTTCGCACCTCGTAGTTAAACTCTTACAAGCTCTGTGGATCCATCAAGCTCGCCTTGTCCCGATGCTATGATGGAAAAGCGGACTCATTATTGGTAGCGAAAATCCAAAAAAGCTGTTGTTTTCCATGATCTCACATGTATCGCCTTGTCCCCATCTAAAACTGCAGCTTTGTTTAGTTCGGGAAAGTTCCTGGGCTCTTTTTCTGCGAAAAGACTAATCCTGCGTAGTTTGAAAAGTGGCGATCTCGATAAGTCACGACTTGTAGCCGGTTTGAGGGTTTTCGCAGGACGAAGACCATTATTCTGACCTATTGTCGTGTAGTTTTATTTTGTTTGAAATCCAAAATCTGAAAGCTTAGTTTTGTTTTAGCTCCCCCAGGCCCGCTCCTCGGAGCATAGTTTTTTTAAAACCTTTCCAAAGTAGCTCCTCGGAGCATAGTCTTCTCGCCCATTCCAGCTCAGCTCTTCGGAGCCTAGTTTTTAGCTTCTCTAGTCTGCATCAAAAGGGTTTAGTTATTTCTGTGTCATCAGCTCCAAACTTCTGACAAACGCAAATCTATTTTACGGCCGACGTGGTGGTTAGGATTGCCTGACCGCTGCGTTGAGCCCAGCTTGCGTGACGGCGTCACGTGGGCTGACACCTCTGATCTCTGATCTGCAACCAAAGTGAATACGTCTCTTCTTCTGTCGGTCCTGCTTTCGTAGGCCATGAACTTCTGTCAGTACCATACTATCGCTCGTTTTTTATTTTTTGTCGTGCAAATTCCTCCGGAAATAAAAACTCTTTCGTTTGTCGTACCATGGAGACGATCCATCAGCATCAACTCACGGCGACATCTCCGCACCACAGTGAATGAATTGATTGAGTACGCCAGGTGCACTTCAGAAAGTCAAGGTAACGGCGCATTCCCATGCTGCTATGCCACTTTATTCCCATTTTGGTTTTATGGTCGCGAAGGTAGACGCTCATACCCTGAGCGCTGGCCTCGTTTGTGTCCTCTCACCTTGACAAGCACAAGCACTACATCAATAATCCTAATCCTATTTGAGTACGTCAACAGCAACTTCCAGCACCAGCACCAATTAGTTTAAAGCTAATCGCAAACTACACAATTACCCCCAAAACAATGTCGGAAGAGTTTCTCCCATTTCCCGAGGGCCGCCGGCGCGCTTTTCGCTTCAACTACCACCCACCACCGCGACCGCGGAAAGGACCCCCACCGGTTAAAGCGAAACAACTACCGCCCGTGTTGTTTTCAAAAGACGCTAATACAGCTAGTAAAAGCTCCGTGGTTTCAGGCAGCGAATCCTCCGTAGTTTTGATGCAACGGGGCGAGAAGATCGTCGCTAGCGATACTGGCGCAGTTTCGGACGCAACTATACCAGATGACGAGGTGGTGAAATTCGCGCATCAGACGAGAAAACCGCAGAATTACGACCATCAGGGGTTGTTTGAGGCGTTGGCTTTTACCGACAGCGACGGTGATGAAGCCGAATCGTCTGCCGCGTCGATCTCCCCACTCAACGCCACAATAGCTCCCTTCAAAGAAGAACCCGGTCAAGGACACGGTTCTCTGCTGTCAAAAAACGCTGACGCTCTCTCAGATATAACCCACCCGGAGGGCGAGGCGGTGAGTGTTATGCACGGGGTGAAAAAGGAGTATTATGACCAGATAGCGCAGTTCAACGAGCTCGAGAAGGAAAAGAAGCTAACGCTGTCGAAGAGTTTTTTACCGAGTAGTCATCCGAAGTATTTGCATGACTCTCTCGTGGAGATCGGGATTACGGAGGGGGAAGATGTTGGTCCTCTTCACGAAGGTGATGGTGATCAACAGGTAGCTCCCGCAGGGAACGACGAGGTTATAACCCGCCTACAAGCGAGTCTCGCAATAGAAACCGGTCCAGCAGGGGCAGTCGCAGTACAGCAAGACACGGCGAAAGCTTTATCGGACGAGGAAGATTTAATCCACCCAGATGAGAAGTTCCACAAGGGGGAGATCGTGAACTACGATGACAAATCCGGATTTGGCTTGCTGAAACACATTGATGTCAACAAACTGATAAACCATGATTTGGTCGGACACGAGAGGAAGCCGGAAGACCACCATCATCATCATGAGGAGGAATCAAAATCCTTAGCCATCGACGGTGATCACCACGGGGCGAAAGTAGCGTATTACCAGAAGGGGGCGGATGGTGATATCGTGCATGAAGGTGCTCCTGCTGGAGATCAAGATCATGCAAGCCACGACGGGCTGCACGATGAGGATCTGCAGCTCCTCCAATTCTCCAAGGTCGAGCTGACTACAGATGAAAATCATTCCGTTTTCATTTTGGAGAAAGGCACGCCAGTGGAGTACCGGGTAGATAGTGACGATAGAGTTTTGGAGGTGCGCGTGGCTCCGCAACTACATCCAGAAGAAGAAACTGCAGGCAGCTCTAGTGCCTATGATGTCAAGGGCCTTCTCCCGCTAGCACGAAAACAGCCGAAACCCGAGGGCGAAGGTTTTTGGAGTTCGCTTTTCAAAAGCAAAAAGACCGCACCTTTGCAACAACCGAGAGCCGAGAAGGTGAAACAGGTGACCGAGAAGGTGAAACAGGTGAAAAACGATATTGTGAAAAAAACCTCCGCGAAAGTACAAGCCGCAAAAGTAAGTAGTCCACCACCTCCTGCAGGCGGTAACACTTCTAACAAGAAACCGAGAAGTACAACTTCTTCTACCAAGACAAAGAGGAGCACAAGCAGTACGAGAACTCCCGGCAGCCGGTCTACTGATGGGAGTGTACGAGATGAGCCACAGTCTATCGGGTTTTTCACCCACACCTCCTTCCACAGAGAAAACCCGAAGCACGCACAAGTCATCAATGTCTTCGAAAAGCTTTTAAACGAATATGAGAGTGCACAACTCCCCCTCCCCGTCATTTGTCATGCAAAATCCCAAATCCGGTTGCTGCACTGACTTGTGGCACTGTTTGCATGACAAAACCTGGAAGCGCAAACAGCACTGCATCCGTCGCATGAACTTGTCATGCACAGCATACACGTGTGCTGGTGTTTGTATTGCTGGCCATGCCATACAAATGAGGGGGAGCAGGAGTTGTGCACTTCCATACTGAAACCCACCGGAAAACGGATTCCCAACACGAGTTAATGTGGGAGTCGAATCTGAAAAAGAAGCGGCAAACCGCGAATTTGGCAGCGGCGATCAAGGTGAAGGACGAGGTCAAGAATGAGATTAAGGATAAACAAGGTCCCGCGGTACAAAAGTTGAAAAACGCAACAAATGTGGTTCTCGCGAATTTGAAAAAGGAGCAACATCCCAGGTCGGTGAAGTTACAGGAAAACGTCCCAGATTTCTACGTTGTGGACAAGGTTTACTGGTGCTATTCCGAGAACCAGGTTGAGTTGTTTGAGGATACGAGGGAAAAAATCTGGGAACAGTTTGACTGGATCTCTGACAAAATGTACACGAATGTCGAGAAAAAAACGCAGTTCGACACGAATAAGGTGATGACGGAGAAAGTCACTCCGGATAAAATCTGGCCCAGGGCGCTGCCGGAGGTTTTTGGAGATAATTCGAATTCGAACAATTACAATTCATATTCAAGTAATTACGTCGACGACCATGTTTACCCGGTTTACAAAGAATACAACGAATGCTTCCTTTTCCACGGTACGAAGGAAAGAAACGCGTGGGAGATCGCGCAGAAGGGGTTCAACTATGAACTGCAAAAGCAACGTGCTACGTATAAATAGCATCACAACTTCCCTCAGCATCACAAATGGGATTCGTAATGCTGTTTTACTTTAGGAAGACGATTTGTCATGCATGTTTGCAATTAGTACGAGTGCGATGCTTTTGAAGTTCATATCAACCTACCAGAAGCGAGTGAGAAATCGAAGCACGGGTCTCGGTTTGGAAAGGCGATTTACCTAGCAGAAGCGAGTTCGAAAGCGGACAGATATACGGCTGAGTTGGTTGAGTTGGAATCCATGGACAGAGTTAACAACTTCAAATCCTTTACAGAGTCAGAAGACGGCGGCGGGATGAACATCAAATCAAACACAACCACAAACTCCAACAGCCGCAAAACAAGTATTGCTAAAACCGTTTCGGAATACTACTACAACACCCAGCCCACCCGTGTGGACAAGCAACTTCTCACAGTGAACGAGAAATCGCACTGTTCCGCCGGGGCCAGGCTGTACTTCCCCGAGCAAATGAACGCGATTACGAAGCCCCGCACGCAGCTGTTGTGCAGAAGTGCGCTGGGCAAGGTGTTTGTCAGCCACAAAATGGCGTGTAAGGCGGAGGATTTGGAAAAAATTGACAATATGGCTTTTAACTGCATCACAAATTCCGATGAGGCGGTGAAGGACGCAGCTGATGCTGCCGAGAAAAGGGACAGTAAAAATTCGACACCCCACTTCGAAATCGAAGAAGGGGTCGCGGAGAAAATGGGAAAGGCGGGTTTCAATACATTGATGGCGGACAACATCAGATTGAAATTCCGGGAATTTGTCCTGTTCGATCCATCGCAAATATTACCGGAATTTATCATCTACTATCGCGCCGGTTACTACCAACGGCCGAGTGCGTGTTTGGAACCAGCGGCCGAAACGGATCCGAAATTAGTGGCGGAGGAGATGAAGACACCAAGAGCTGCTGCAACACCGAGACCGTCTGACGAGCTAGCACCAAACGCGCTTCGGTTGAGTGGAAGGAGAAAAAGTGACGAACAATTTACCCCGCCGGCGACGCCACATTCGACACCCAGAACCGCCCCCTTTTACGCGCATCACGGGCCGATGGTCAGGTTGCCGCCAAGACTCGCGGCGCAGCAATTATACGGTAGTTCTTACGGGAATCAAGGTGAGACTCCTTCCCCGGGGCCCCGGAAGTCTAACTTGCCAATCGCCCCAACCACACCCAGGCGAGGTGGGAGTGGTGAGCAGGCTATCACTCCAACAACACCGAGGCGGGGTGGGAGTGCGGGGCAGTCGGGCGCAAATGGAGGTAGTTCATCAGCTGCTGGTGGTGCAGCTGCTGTTCCGAAATTGCAGTTGCCATCGGCTCCTGGAGCAGCTACTACGTCAAAGGGAAGGGGAAAGCTAACTCGTAGCAACACGCTCGCCGGAGCTGCACCTCCACGCCCCTCGATGGAGAATCTACAGAAGAAGCGATTGAGCGGGAGGAAAGGCGATATTTATACGGAAAACTACAGCTACACAACCGTGTCCTCAGCTGGATATTATCATCCTTCTGGCGACGGTGGCGGTGGTGCGACAGGAGCCGCTGCCAGAATATCTTCGTATGGAAAAGGAGGAGAAGGCGATAGCTCCGGCTGGCAGTATCGCGATTCCTGGATGGCAACGCACAATGACATGGCTTGGGGTGCAGCGCACAATGATGGTTGGGGCATGCGCGGATCGGGGTTCCACGGACAGGGGGCGTGGTGAAAGTAGTGCACCCTCAAGGTGACAAGGAATCAGCGTTTTACAAGAACAATTGGAGAAGTCTTACACTATACATTTTTTTACATCATTATCATTTGCCTAGGGATGAAGTTCTGTGGAGATTGGAAGGACTCCAGAAGAACGATGTTTTGCCCTTGTCACGATATTCTCTTTAGACACTGTGTACTTTTGTCATTGTGTGAAATAGAAATAAACCGGTTGACTTTGTGGCTCGCACGAGCGGGAGTTTTGTTTTTCCTCCGTGTTCGCTCCATTCATGTTTCGACTCGTCGCATGCTACTCTGAGAGCCTACAACGAGCGCGTTCGCCTTCGATGATCTAAAAAGGAAAAGTCGACGCCCGAGAGAACTACATTTCGATTTCCTTCCTTTGGAAGATGTGAATTTGCAATCTTTTTTCGCTGTTTTCGACGCAGAACGTGTGCACAAGATCGAAAATGTCGTCGAACTAGAAGTACTAGAAGAACAAGAAGGCTTCATTACTCGTGGCGCGCAGCAACGACAACAAGGTACATCAAAGGCGTGAATTTGTATTGTTATACTTCCAAAATTTAAGTTACACCAAAACACTTACCCCAAGATGTATCTGCCCCCGGCGGACGATGTCGAAAAGGAGGATATCCTCAGTAAAAACGTACCCACACCAGAGTTGTAATGCAAATCTGCATGCTGAAAATGTTTCTCATGCGGAGCCCCATGAGAAGCATTTTCTAGTCGTGTTTTGCAATTTGTCATGCTCCAATCAGCATGGTATGCTAGATCTGTGATGCTGCTGAGCTAGCTCAAACCGCACTACACTACGAATGCAAATTTGTCATGCAAAACAGCCAAAACTTGTGGATTTGTCTAGCCGATTCCCCATCTTGACTATGGTGTGGGTACGTTTTTACTCAGGATAGAGGAGTACGCCGGTCTCACCGGCCCCGACCCCTGGAAGGCAGCGGAACCGCTCTACCCGTCTTACTATGAACTGCAAAAGTATCGCATTCGTATAAATGCATTGCAAATTCTTTCAGCAAGAGAAATAAAATTTGTAATGCTGATTTACCTTAAGAAAAAGTTTTGTAATGCATGACTGCAATTACTACGAGTACGATACTTTTGCACAGGATACTTACCTAGCAGATACAAAACAGTCCGTCGCCTTCGAAGCTGCGCAGAAGGCGGCGAAGTACGCGCAAGTGGCGAACTATTTCGAAATATCAAATGCAAAAATGTCTGGGTCTGGAAAAATGGAAGGCTTGTCATGCTTGTCTGGCATGACCCATGATGATTGTAATGCATGACCCAGCATCACAGATTTTTGGCAACTTTCTTGATACCATTTCCGCATGACAAACGCCCTCCCCGCGTAGCACAAACTAGACTCCTCTTGCTGGTCATGCAATACAGATTTTTTTAGAGTCCAAAGTCAGCATCACAAGTTCCAACTTTCCAGATCCAGACACTTTTGCATTTGATACGAAACCATCGCGACCAAACACTGGCAGATCGGACAGTCTTGCTATGAACAGCAAAAATATCGTACTCGTTGTAATTGTAATCATGCATTACAAATCTTTTCTTGAGGTAAATCCGCATTACAAATTATCTTTCTCATGCAGCTGAGGAAATTTGTAATGCATGTTGTATATGAGTGCGATGCGTTATTTGCAGTTAATACTTGTAAGGAAAACGCGGTTTTAGCTTACCGGCAGGCGGAGAACGAGAAGTATGAGAAGTCGTACGAGAGTTCGGATTTGCTGAAAAATTTGCGGAAAACCTGCGACCGCTTCAAGAACTGGCTGTTGGTTACGAAGAAGGAGGTAGAACCCGATTTTGGAAGTGCGAATAGAGAAGCGGAGGAGGATGCGGCGAAGGTGAAGGAAGGCGGTGGAGAGGGAGACGGTACAACAACTGGAGGTGGCGCAGGAGAAGACGCTGAGAGCACCTTATCACCAGAAGAAGGCGGGATAGCCGAACCCCCAGGAGACGACGTGTCCGGAGCCGCTGCGTCTTCTGCAACACCAGAAGACAACCAAGATCCGTCAAACGAATTTATTCGGAACAAAGCGCTACTGACTTCCGCCCCGGTAATGAAAGCCAGGGTGTTGTGCGGGAATTTGGTATCCACAGTAAATCTCCCGTACACGTAGTACAAATGCGGCCTCTGCATGACAAATTTGGGTTTCGATCCTAGTTTAGCATGACAAGTGTGGCACTCCAAATTGGTGAAATTTGTGATGCATCTTGTACATCATGTACGGGAAATCTGTATTGCATATATGGAACGGCAGATTTTGGCGTCCAACATGAATTCGAGTTCGGGTAACAAGCAGGGGCAGCTTTACATCACGCCGCCAAACACCTACTATCAACTGTAAAAATGTCTGGGTCTGGAAGAATTCATGTTTGTCATGCTTGTCTGGCATGACTCTTAAATCTGTCATGCATGTTACCCAAGAGCTCCGTTTTTCTGTGATGCAGAAACGCAGTTTGTCATGCAGAATAGGCAACACCTAGGAGAGCAGAAACTTGTCATGCTGAGCCAGCATTTGTAGCGTCATCATGAGACGCCACCCAGCATCACAAGTTTCCAGACCCAGACATTTTTACTTTTGATACCTACCCTCGCATGCCGATCTGGCCGCCGGCGCAGACGGATTTGAGCGCTTTTGTGGGGGAGGAGTCCAGGATAGGGGCGGGAATGATGGGCGGAAGTAGTGCTGGTGGTTTTTCCGCGTCTTCTTCTGGTGGAGGAGGAGGTGCGGCAGATATGATGATGTCAAACGTTTTGATGAAATGACGTTCAGAGCACGTTTTCGACGCGAATGTTTCCGTTTCTGAGTTTCTGTTTCCAAGAAGTTGAAGAGTAAACGCTTATAGATGCGCTCAAGCCTGCTCTCGTTTGAGGCTAGTAGATAGCGCATCTGAGATGCTCCTCCCGCATGATCTCGTCATGATTCTGCTTGGTGTTCAGATGTCCAGGTCGTCTTCAAAAATTGTTCGTGCCGGCCCACTGGTTTTGATGAAACAATCGAAATGGAATGATCGTTGATGTGACGCGGCTGGAAGATCTCCATTGCGTTATTGTTGATCCGCCTCCGATGTACAGGACAAGATCGAATAGCGCTCCTCCCGCATATTAAGCACGTACTAGTAGAAACGTCATAAATCTAGTTCTTTTTCTACGCGAAGCAAAGTACCAAGGATACATGACCATTTTGTTGGCGGCGGGACGACACCAAAATTGCAACATCTCTTGCACCACATTTTCGCACAACCCAGCATCGCACTTCTGCCCTTCAATCAGCAGAAAGGCTGCAACTGCGGAACCGATTTCATCGGCAACACAAAACCGCCATGTCGATCTCCAAATTAGCCCTGCAAAACCAGGAGCAGGGGATAAAAGACGCACTGGAGGATTTGAAAAAAGCGATCCAGCAGTTGCAGGGACAAGGACCTAGCGGCGGCGGTGGTCTCTTCGGGAGTTCGAGCTCCAGCTCCTCCTCAAAAAACCCTAACGTGGAACAGGAAAAGTCGCGACAAGCCGCCGCGCAAATTCGCGTGTGTAATCAGCTGGTGTCGAGGTGTCGTTATGCATCGCAAAAGCATCGTACTTACTAGTAGTGGGAACTGCATTGCAAGTTTGACGCCTACTAGCATGGAAATAAGTGGACGAGATTGTCATGCTGATTAGCATACGGAAGTCGATCTGTCATGCAGTACCGCCAATGCTACGAGTGGTACAATGCTTTTGCACATCATATTCGTAACTTGCTGGAAGCGTTGCAGCTGGAGCTCCGCGCCTGCAAGGATGAGGTCATTCGGGGCGGGTATGAACAGGTATTTTCTGAGGTGTTGTTTGTCATGCATAGCAGCAGCTTGTTAGGTTTTTGTCATGCAGGACACGATTAGAGATAGAGTCGTACTTCTGTAATGCAAAACCCCAATACAACGACAAATCCAGACCCTCTCCGACTTCCGTTCCGAGCTGAAGAAGCAACAAACGGAGCTGGAGTTCCGGAAAAAGGAGATCCAACGCTCCACGAACCAGCAGAAATCGAAAAACCTGCTCGGAAAATACGAAAACATGGAACAAGTCGACCAGCGGAGGTTAGACGATGTCAGGGCGGAATTTGATCCGGAAAACCCGCAGATGAACAGCGCAGGATCAAGCCAGTTTCAGCTGCAACAGCAATCCAACCGTGCGATACAACTGGGGGATAAATTGCAGGACAGAACAGAGGAGTCGCTCAAGCGGATTCTCCGGATGGCCGCAGACGCGGAGCAGATCGGGACTAGGTCGTTACAAACGATGCACGCACACGAGGAGCGGATGGGAAGGACGATGCAGGAGATGGACGACGTGCAGAACATATCAAATGCAAAAATGTCTGGGTCTGGAAGGTTGCAGGAGTTTGTCATGCATCTTCTGGATCACCATCACGCAGCTGGTCTCTAATGCACGCAGAAGCATTACAGGTTTTGCGCAGGCCTCCTGATGTCTATTCCGCATGAGAAATTCCCTATTTGCATAGCAACAAATGGGAAGCTTTTGGCGCTTATGCAATACAAATTTCTGCCTATTCGTATTCCAGAATTCGCATGACAAGTTCCAACTCTTCCAGACCCAGACGTTTTTACATTTGATAGAACACACTCCAGCGGACGAGACATGTGGTAAGCGGGTTGATGCGGGGAGCGGCGAGTGATAAGTGCGTGCAGATGCTGTGTGCGTTCTATCGTCTGCAAAAGTATCGTACTCGTATTGCGATCATGCATTACAAAATCCGCATTACAATTTTTATTTTTATTCGCGCTGAGGGAATTTGTCATGCATTGATTTATACGAGTGCGATAGTTTTGCAGTTCATACGTTCATCACACTGGCGATTTTGTTGTGTATCGTGCTGGCCGCTTTAGGGGCGGACCAGGGGAAAATGAACGTACCCGACGAAGTCAGGGATGATAGAGATAATTGACAGAATACGGAAGAGGAATTCGCACTTGCTGTTCATACAGCACTTCTTACACGAACTCCAACCCGAAGTTGCTGTAACTTCGCTAGCGCCGAGTAAGACAGACACGCAAGTAGAATTAATGATCAGGCAAAGTAGATTGAGACCCTGTTGCCGATTTCGCGGACCTCCTCGAGGCCAGCGATACGTGTTTGTTCTCGGTGGCTATTGTCTCGTTTCTGCTGCTTCAGCACCCGGCGGCAGCACTACCAGTCACTTCTACTGAAGAAGAGTGCATTTTTGAGGTTTAAAATCTTGTCACGTGAGTTGGAGAGAGCGTGATGGAAGGTACTGAGAGGGCAGCGAGGGACTTTGGCGTGTAGGGGTGCGTATGGGAAGAGAGAGAAGTGTATGGGTCTTGTAGCAGAGTTATGATATTATGACGTGATGCTGATGCTCATGTTGTTTCAGAAATAATGCACACGTAGTCATCTCTTTGTTTCTGGCTTCCGCCTCTGGACCAGGAGAACGGGCGCCGCTTGCTTTTCTCGCCGAGCTGGCCGAACTACTGGCGCAGCCAGCTAGGAGCTCGCTGGGAAAGTTGCCCTGGAGGATAAAGGACCACGCCGCCCGGTGTGACAGAGTGAGCGAGGGGGCCGGGAGCGGTCTCGGCCAGATTCCGGATCTTCTTTCTAAAAAAACGCCCAAGGCGACCGGCGGCGGGGAAGGTTTCGGTAGGACCCGCGTCGTCTTCGGACGAAACAAGTAGCGCGGCCCGTTTGCCTGTTGTCAATGTTCTGCGGCCGAGCCGGCCGCACCCGCGCCGCCCCTCGGCTCGCCCCCCGCCCGCCACCAGGGGGCTGCGGTGCCACATAGGCCCGCGCCGGGCGGCCCCGCTGGCTGCCGGCGCCGCCTGTCGCTTCCTTGGCCCGTTGGCCGGTGCAACGCACGCCGCCACCAGCACACCCGGCGCCAGGTGCCCGGCGCCTGCTTCGTGGCTGGTGCGCTGTGTAAGATGGGTGTGGCCGCCCCAGTGAAGGCTTTTGGCAATCGTGTTGCCTGTCTGCCCTCGGTGGTGGGGCGCGGCCACCGGCGTTCGCGGCCATGGGCCATCGACCTGGTCTGGCGGGCCCGGGTTAGTCAGACGAATAAAACAAGATTGGCTCCTGCGCGGCTTCAAACGAAGTTCGGAATAGAATGCTACTTTAGCGCAGGTTGCCGGCCGCTGCACAAAACGCCTAACGGTCATACGTCTTCGGCATTAGGAGGCGTCTACTCATATTGCTGTGGGCCATTTTGTTTCTGTTGCTTCAGCCGGCGCCAGAAAAAGGGAGAGTGCATTGAGATTTGAACACCGACGTTTATGTGTATTGAGAGTGCAGCGAGGGGTTTTGGAGTGTAGAAGTCCGCGTGGAAACAGACAGAGAGGCGCGGGTCTTGTAGGAGTGAGAAGTAAAAGCGCGGCGCTTTGTTTCGCAAATAATATAGGCTATGTGTGCGATGGTGCGTGAAATTTATGGCCCCCGTTTTCGGTGGCCTAGTGGATGGGGCAGCGCGTGTTCTCTCCGAGTTGGTTGGCGCGATTTTGGCGCAGCAGGCCGCGGGCGCTCAGCGAGCTGATGACGCTGGTGGCACAACCTTCGGGGCAGGGGGCGAGACGTTCCACAAACTGCTGAATCCGACCGAGCGGGCGCATCACATTCGGCAAAGTTGTCGCGCGTGTCGGCCCCTTTCCGTTTTATTTCCCATCTTTGGACGAAACAAGGCCGGGCGGCCTGGCCCGTCGCGGCAGCGCCGGCCGCCCCCGCCTGCCCTCCTGCTAGTTGGTTAGGCGGGACCGGCCGGGGCATCGAGCCCAGGAAGCGCCGGCGCTTCTTTCGGGGGCGCCGCGCGGCGCGCCGCCGCGAATATCCGAACGAAGGGGCGGGCCAGGTGGCTGCCCGTTTCGGCTTAGGGCTTTCGTATGCATGCCTGCATAGGGGCCGCGCTGGCCCTCATGCCTGCGTGTCCTCCTTCGCTGGGCGCCTGCCCGTTACCTACGAACGTGGCCGTCGGGCAGGGTCGTGCGTGAAGCTGCCCCGCGGTAGTGGTTTGGCGGGTGTGCTGCCTGCTCCCGTGCTGCCGGCCATCGCACCTGGTGCGGGCGCCAGCGCTCGCGGCCCTGGGCCGGCGGTTTGCCTGGTGAAGTCCGGGAGCGCAACTGAAACTAGCGCCATCAACTTATTATAAAAGCCTAGCTCTTGTTGTTGCATTACCGGAGCTCGTAGAAGAATGCTGTATCGCAGCTTGCTCTGAATTGCAGCGAACTGCACGACGACCAAGAGGCGAGGCCACCTTATCCATTTTTACTAACCAAGAGTGGGTCTGAGTGTTGAGTTGTGGTTGCGCTCTTCTCCTCCTTGCTGTTCTAGGCAGCATTACTACCGAATGACAGCTGTTGTCCGTGAAAGAGAGAGAAGGAAAAGGAGATATTAGAGTTGTCACACGTATTGGCGCAGCACGACGAGATGAAGCATGGGCATGAAAGGTGAGGGAACAGTGAGAGATGACATGTGCGTGGCGAAGATACGTGTGTTTACCTAGTTTTCACAACGGCAATGTCAACAAGCAAGATGCTCACCTGTGATGTAGCAAGCAAAGAGAGGCACCGCGCCCCGACGCGTAGACAGAGGGCTGAGCCAGCCGTGGGGCGCGATGGATGCATGGGGCGACCCGTCTTCTTCCGTCAAGACGCACAGGACGGGCAGGCCGCCTCCCTCAGCCAGGGAGCCGCGCGGCCGGCCGCGCCCGCGCGTCTGAGTGACTGGGCGGCCGCCAGTAGAATCGCCATCCTCCCAGGCCAGGCGCCGGGGCCAGCGACATTCATGATGGGGCGCGCCAACGACTCCGCCAAGCGTCACGCCAGCCGTTGCCTGTGTCCGCCCCTTCGTGTGCTGGGTGGCCCCCTTGATTCATTGGCGGCGGCTGGTTCTTCGGTGGGCCTGCCGCTGCCCTTCGAGTGCTTGCGTGCCCCGGCCGCCCCGGGGCGCGCGCGGGCCCCTCTGCGGCGGCGGTGGGGTTTTTGATCCCTCGCGGCCCTGCATCTGCGTGGGCGGCCTTGCGCGGTATGTCCGAGAGGACCCCGCAGCCGCCGCGCGCGCATGGTTGTTTGGCGTGCCTGCTCCGGTCCGCTCTTGGTACTAGGCCTGTTCCCGTGTTGCTGGCCCCATTCGCGGGGGGCCTTTTGGCAGCGCGATGGATGGGCGTGGTGCCTAGTGACGCGGGGGCATTACTTCAAACATGTGGGGCGTTGGCCCGTTGCCCATTGCCGCGCATGGCGCGCCCGCCCTGTAAGCGCTGCCCGTATTTCGCAGCCGGATGGGGTCCGTCGCTTTGGGAATCACGAATGACAGACTTTGCCCTGTGCATGAAATGTCTTGGCAGTATCCTGTGACGCAGCCGGCCTCTGGCCCCGTGCCCCGCTCTTCCCGGGCGGTGTTAGTTTGCAGGCCGGCGTCACCGAGAGTGTGTGTCTTAAATCGTGAAAGGAGAGGGGATTGCCTTCGCAGTCACGCGTCGGTCTGTCAGCGTTGGGCGCTTTCTCACGGCGCCCGACGAGTTGTTCTTGCTTTTGGCTGCCGAGCCGCAGTGTGAAGCAGTAGAGTGTAAAGTATGGTGCTACACGGTTTCACTTACACTTGCTTGTCACCACAGCGACATGATTGAGCACTGCTGAAGAGCGTGGCTGTGCATGACGAGGGGGAGGGACAAAAAAGCTGCTCCGAAGGTTGTTTTGTACTGATGGGATTGTCTCAGTCACAGTGAGTCGCACGCTCTCTGATTGAGGAAATGAATTCGGCACTCAATCTCCGCACCGGAAAGATGGACCCTGAAGCCGGAGGATTGAGACTTCTATGAGATGACGAGGACAGACTGACATCAAGATCGCCATCAAAATGTCCGACCAGCAGCCGCCCGAGTTCCCGGGTGCGCCCGACCCCTCCACCCTCCGCCCGATCGAGGTGTTTCATCGTTCAAAGGGCGCAGCCTCGACGACTGCCTCCAACCTCTACAAACCCGAAGAACCCGACCTGGCGGTGCAAAATGCGATCAAAGCCCACCCCGCGGGTTACACCACGGCCGGCGCGGAGGGACACATTGAAAGGGACATGGTGTCGCAATTAATCGGAAACGAACTACCGGATTTCAAAAACGACTTCTCCAACGTTTACACCGGCAAGGAGAAAAAGCCGAAAAAATCGAAGGTGAAGTTAGTCGACGTCAGTCCGGTATGCATTGCAAAGGAATCGCATTTAGTTTTAGTAAAAATTGCATTACAAATTTTGTCCAGATCAAACAAAAGTGCAGTTTGTCATGCTAAATGAGGTAGAAAAGTAGATCTATCATGCGTGACTACGATTCAGTACTACGAGTGCGATGCTTTTGCGATGGATATTCGAAAGTGAAAAAAAACAGCTTAGCGAGCTTAGCGCACGACCCAGCGGGGATGAATGTTGCAAACCATTTCGAAGGTATTGAGCAGATCGGCCCGGAGAAGATGATGTTACCGGGGGAAAAACCACTTGCAACCTCCTCCGCCGGTGGGGAATCATCAGCGGGACAGCAACAAGCTCCACAAAATCAACCTGTCGTTCCTCAGAAGCAAAAATCCAAGCAGGAGATCGAACACGAGCAGGTCTCCTTATGCTCTGCAAAAGTTGTATCGCACTCGTACTAATTGCAATCATGCATGACAGATGTCTGTCTTTAGGTTTTTCAGCATGACAAAAACTTCTGTTTTGTTTTTAAAGAAAATTTGTCATGCGGTTTATACTAGTGCAAAATGCTTTTGCAATGCATACTCCTACGCAAACTACTACCAAACTCATCCGCTTTCCACAAACGACCCGTTCGTGAAAAAATCCGGGGATGTTTCAACCCTAACCGCCGGCGCGGAGCACCATTTAGATCGACATTTGTTGTCGAAAATGGTGGGAAATGAGTTACCGACGTTTGAAAATCAGTTCGCGAACATGGATCCGGAGAAGAGGCGGAAGTTTGAGAAGAAGTTGAAAAAGCTCAAACTCGTCGATCCGAAAGGGTTCAGTGCGGAGGAAAAACCGAAGAGTTACGGGACTGGGGGATTAGCTTCGATGGCATTTGATGGCGGCGGGATGCAGCAGAACTACGTGTCTGATCATTTCAAACACGTGGACACGGTACACGAGAACGAACTGTTGAAGGAGGTGCATCATTTTGAGGAGATCGATGTTTACGCGGCGTCGACGGTGGGAAACAAATCGGGGGTTAGTGGTAGGAGCGGGAAGTCGAAGAGCAGTAGCAAATCGAAGAAAAGTGCAACTGCTGGTGAGAAGAGTAATAATAAAGCAGGGGCGAAAACTGGTGTGGATGGCGCGACAAGTCCAGGCACTACACCAACTCCCGCACCAGGAGCTGCTCCCGCAGGAACTGCCGGGTCGGCAGAGCAGATGAAGCCGCCTTCAACAACATCTCCAGCGCAAAGCAAGAAGGTCTTGCCGTCGAAAGACAGTGTGTTTAAAGAAGGAGCGGATGCTGGTGCTGGAGAAAAGGCGATGGATGAACAAGGAGCAGTGGAAGAAGAAACTGTGACTGGTGGTCCAGAAGATCCTCCTGCCGGTCCTGCTGTAACGGAGCAGCCACCAGCTGCGGATGCGAACACATCTCAGAAGCAACCACAACTAGACGAGAACCAGAAGAAATTGCCCGCTTCGTGGCAGAAAGTCTTGGCCAAATCAACAAGAGCCGGGACAACAGGAACCGCCGGTCAAAGGCGGTGGCAAGCTGCGATGAAATTGGTGATATCAAATGTAAAAATGTCTGGATCTGGAAGGTTGGAACTTGTGATGCTAAATCTGAAGCATCCAAAAATCTGTGTTGCATGATTACCATAAGTCGTCCAGTTTTGACCAAGTCGGGAGGGAGTTTCTCATGCAGGATAGGCATCCACGAGAGAGATCGCGCAGAATCTGTCGCGCTAGGTCCTGCATTCCAGACCTCATGGGTCATGGACAAGCTGCGTGACAAGTCGTGCGCTCTTCCAGACCCAGACATTTTTACATTTGATAGGTGAAGGCGGATAGCAAAACCGCGTCGCCCAGTGCTGGTGGTGCGCAGTCCAAGCAAACAGCGGGAGCTGCTGGTGCTGGCGTGGAACCAACAGTACTAGTCCCTTCCCCTGGTGTAGTAGCTGTTCCTACCGAAAGTCTTCTAGCACAAACACAATCAGCCTCCACTCCGGATAACTACGCGAACAACTTTTTCATGCAACCGACACCGGATAGTGCCAGTCCGATGAAAGCGAATTATTTGCTGGCGGATAAAGGTGCTCTGAACAGCAAAGATGACGACACCAAAAGCCTCGGCGGCGCATCGAAGGTGTCTTCTTCTAGCTCCAGATTCGCCGCATTGGACGCTTTTCGGAAGAGTAGAAGGGAATTAGCAGCGGTGGAGGAACGGGAGAGGCAGGAGAAAGTGAAAGCAGCAGCAGCGGTTGCTGCGGGAGAGACCGGTGGCGACACTGCTGCAGCGCCACCAGGTGTAGTTGAGCCAGCTCCTGTTAGTACAGGAGAAGTTCCAGCAGCAGCTACAAGTGTCGCAGCTGGTGCAGAAGATCCTGTTGTTGCTGCTCCGGTGGAAGAAGTACCACAGGAACAAGCAACCGCAACACCAGACGCACCATCGGGTGTTGACCCAGAAGCCGGTGCACCTGCTGCTCCAGCTCCGGCAAATAAAGACGAAGTTGTAGCGGAGCCACTTCCAGTAGCAGCAGAAACTGACACACCTGGTGCTGCGCCCGCAGTTGCAGTTTCTGCAGATGAAGTGGTTGTCCCTCTGGATGATGAAACTGCAGTCGCTACAGCTTCTGCTGCTCCGGCGAAGGAAGTAGATGAAACGGCTCTAGTAGAGCCACAGCCACCCGTAGTTCCAGCCCCACCTGATGGAGCAGTAGCTGCAACAGCAGAAGACGTCGCGGCACACCCAGACGCCGCTCCAGTAGAGCCGGACAACTCCGCTCCTGTTGAACAATCCGTATTGCAAGACATACCAGCTGTCATGCCAGTTGGTCAACATGAACAACCGCAGGTTTTGGAAGCGGAGGGTGAAGCTGCCGGTGGGGATGATGTGGTCGTGGAGGAGGAGATAGTGGAAGAAGAGCCTGGAGTTTCAGCGGCAACAGAAGCCGTCGTAGAAAGTGAAGACGCCCCAAAAGAAGTTCCACCTGCGGACACTGCAGCCACTCCTGCTGATGCTGTTGAAAGCACCACCGCTGCCCCTGGAGATCCTGCACCAGCACCTGGGGAAGCTGAGGGGGCAGAAGAGACTCCAGCTGTTCCGACAGACGGAGGAGCGGAGGCTGCAGATGCTGATGCGCCGACGGAGGGTGGAACGGAGGGTGCAGCTGAGCCACCAGTTTTTGAAGAGCCACCTGTTACCGCAGAACAACCAGAGCCCGCTGCTCCCGCTGTCGGCGAAGCAGAAACAGCAGCTCCTGCTGCAGAAGAACTGTCGCTCCCTGCTGTAGACGATACTTTTACTGGAGCTGTTGATGAAGCCGCAGCAACAACCGAGCTGCCCGCAGAACAAACCCTACTTCCGCCAGCAGAAGACACCAAAGAGGGAAGCAAGCAAAGCGCCAGGAGCGGCACCGGTGAAACGGAAGATGTAGTTGTACCGCCAGCCGAGCAGGTCCCAGAACCGACTGCAGAAGAACGCGCGGTTATGGAGGGAGATGCTGTTGCGCCGCCACCTGTTGCTGCTGCTGCGGAAGCAGAAGCTGATGCAGGTGCGCTGCAAACGGCTGCACAAGTAGAGGAACCTACAGGTCCAACTCCAGCTCCCGAAGAACTACCTGTACAAGAAAACAGCAACACCAACCCCGCCATCGTAATCGACAGTGTCTCCCCGGAGAAAATCCTCTTTTCTTCCACAAAAAACCCCTCCGACCTCTACCCACCTGCGAACAACGACAACCCTTATGAGTCCTCCTTCGTCGAGTCCCCGGACGCGGTGGATGGTACTGTAACAAATAACCAGTCGCAGAGCCTCCCGAGTGCTGGCGACATGGTCTCTGTAACCGCGAATGAAGTGTCGGTCGTGTCGCAACAACAGAACAACAGTACGGCGAGTGCGGCGGACTTTGTCACGCCGGCTAATAGCAAGTCTGTTGGGAACAATATCCCACGAAAAAAGTGTTACAGTTACACATTTGTAGTGAATTCAGCAACACAAATTTCTCTGCATGAGAGAGAAAACTTGTAATGCAGAAATCCTAGTACGGGAAAACACCTATTAAACGAGGCTCCTATGCATATCCGGCATGACAGAGCTTGCCTGTCTTGCTTGACCTGCAACACAATGTGTAACTGTAACACTTTTTTCTTGTGATAAACAATTTGGTTTTCGCCACCCCGATGGACGACCAGGTCGTGGCTGAACAAGCTGTATCAAATGTAAAAATGTCTGGGTCTGGAAGAATGCAACTTGTCATGCGAAATCTGAAGCATGCAAAAATCTGTATTGCATGATTACCAAAAGTCGTCCAGTTTTGACCAAGTCGGAAGGGAGTTTCTCATGCAGGATTGGCATGAGAGAGATCGCGCAGAATCTGTCATGCTAAGTCCTGCATTCCAGACCTCATGGGATATGGAAAATCTGCATGACAAATCGCGCATTCTTCCAGACCCAGACATTTTTACACTTGATAAGCTGTGCAGATTGTAGCAGATTCCGTTGACATACCAGCGCCCACAACTTCTATGCAGGAACAGCAGCAAGCTGCTCTTGACGAGATCGGCTCACCCCCGGTCTTGGAGGAAGTTCTGCCTGCCGACGTTGTGATTGAGGTTGACAAGGTAGAGGCTGATGTGAAAAACGAGGAGGTTCCAGTCAAGAAGGAAAAGCACCGCCACCGTTTAGCCTTTGAGGACGACGAGGACAATGGGGAACAAGATGAGGATGGTGAAGAACAACAGCAGAACTTTGTCGACGGCGCATCAGTCGTCCCCGATGAACGATCCAAAACAAAAGCTTCGTTCCCCGAACAGGAGCAAGAACTTTTCCTCTTCGACAACGTCGTGAAGCAAAACGGTTTGGATTTACCCCAGATCAACGGGGTCGCTTTACCTGTGAGAACTACTACTGCAACAGCAGGGCCAGCTGTGCTGGAGGGGGAAGGGGAGTCCGCTGCAGTGGACGACACGGTTTTAGAAGAAGAGGACTTCATCGAAGGGGGTGACGACGATGATGCAGCAGCTGCATACGGTGATAGAAATATTGGTCCGCCAGATAATTACATCGAAGGAGAGGGCGAAGCAGCGGGTAATGATGCGGAAATCGACATTGAGGAAGACGATGACTTTGAAGACGAAAATAACGCGCCAGAGGAGCAACAGCAACTGTTAGAACCCGATACTAAACAAGCTCTCCCGATGAAAAGAGAGAGAAAACTCAAGAAGAAAAAACCATCAGAGTTGAAACACGATGAAGAGGGACACGTGTTCAATCCGGGATTACCGGGGTTGAATCCCCATCCAATAACCTACGACCAAAGGATGGTGTCCGACCATTACGACCAGACAGTTCTCCGAGCACACATGACCCCGGGGAGGAGACAATTGTTACACACCCATCACGAGGAGATCGGGAAGATACCAGCGAGCGTTTTGCAGGAGCCCGCGCCGGACATTGCGAAACAAGCGCAGTTACTGTACACGTTGGTGTTGCCGTTGCCGATGGTTCTGCTGTTGACGGAGATCGCCGGTTTGGTTCTCGGACTGGGGAGCACGTACTTAGTTGTGCTTCTGTTAGTTGTGTGTTTGTTGCATGAGAAGACAATTTTTTCTGTGAAAGAGTGCATGACAAATTGAAACCACCGAAGTCTCTCTTCCACATCTATCAGGTACGACTTTCACTTAGTTCCCAACCTCCTCTTTCCTCTAACAAGCGTCGGTTTCATGTACGCGGACGCGTTCTACAACAACCAACCCTACCGGAACAGCACAAAACACTATACATTGCAAATATGTCTGGGTCTGGAAGAATGCAACTTGTCATGGTAATTCTGGATAGTGCGCAAATCTGTGCTGCAAGATTACCAGAAGCTGTCCACTTTCGACCAAGCTGAGAGTGAGTGTCTCATGCAGACGAGGCATGATAGTGGTCGGACAGAACCTGTCATGCTGGGTCATGTATGACAGACCTCACGCGTCATGGAAAATCTGCATGACAAGTCTCCTAACCTTCCAGACCCAAACATATTTCCATTGCATAAACACGTCGAAGTCGCGATGATCCCCTTTGCGGCGTACGTGGTGATAGTGTCGATTCTAACTTCCCCCTACATTTTCAACTTGGAAACCGCTTGTTCCTGTGAGCCGTACGACAAGGTGAACCAATTTTACCCAGACGGGTGCCGGCTGGCCACGCCGAAGGAAGCGATGTTCAACTCGGGGACAGTGGCAATGTGCCAGTTCCAGCACTTGCTCTTCAACTTCGCGAGGCCGATATTCGTATTTCCTGATTGCTTTTGTTTGAGTTTGTCATGCATAGAGCGCAAATCTGATGAATCTGTCATGCTTGTCAACGCATTTGAAAAAGAAAAACACCGCTAATATCAGTTCCCCGTCGCCGGTATCCTCCTTACATTCTTCGTCATCATCCCATTTGCCGTCGAGCTTTCTGCGCAACTTTTCGGGCGTGCCGCGGGGAAGAAAATGAAGTGGGATGAAAAATTGTATCAGTGGGTGGAGGAAGAGAGCTCCCACACCTGTTTCTTCGGGTATCAAATGCAAATATGTCTGGGTCTGGAAACTTGTGATGCAAATCTACGAATTGTGCGCGCACTGCCATATGCAGCCCAGCATGACAAGTTTTTGCGCATCTGTGTGTTTCGTTTTTCGCATGACAAACTGCGTTTTTGCATGCCAGGCAAGAGGCCCTTTTCCTGCTCCTGCATCACAGATTTAAGACTCATGCCAGACAAGCGTAACAAACTTGCACTCTTCCAGATGAGACCCAGACATATTTGCATTTGATATCGGCGACACCATGACAAAAGCACAGTGGTTCTCCTATTTCGGTAGATCACCCGAGGATACGAAATTGTTGGCGCCGAGAGAGTTGATGAAGCACGCGGAGAACGCGAATAAGAAACCAGCAACGGAAACGGATGCGTTTTTGGAAGAAAAACGGTTGGAAAAAGAGGAAAGGGATTTGGAGGCGGGATTGAATGCCGGAGCAGAAGGAGAAATCACTGGGGCGGGAGAAACTACTACACAAAATCCCAACCCAGCCTTTGACCTCGACGAAGCACACGAGAAACTTCACTACCGGGCTGGGATTTGCCACAGATTCCGACGGAAACTCCTCTTCATCGGCGCGATCGTCGCTTTTATCGCACTCGGGATAACGGGGAGGATAGTGTCGAAGTCGGTCACGATTTACAACTTTTTGTTGAAACTCCGGTACTGGGTGGCGATTTTGGAGGTGGTTTACCTCGGGATGGTGTTAATGGCGACGGACCAAGCGGAAGCGGATATCCCGTGTAAAAACGTCTCCACCCGAAAGTCAAGATGGGAAATCTGCTAGACAAATCAAAAGGCTTTGGTCGTTGCGTATCACAAATTTGATTTTGCAATGTAGTCGTCTTTAGCTAGTGCAGCAGCATCGCAGATCTTGCACATGATGCTGATGCAAGCATCAGAAATATCAAAACACCACTGGAAAATGCTTCTCATGCGTCGCCGCGTGAGAAACATTTTCAGCATGCAGATTTGCATGACAACTCTGCGGTGGGGACGTGTTTACATTGGATACCGGAGTGGTATCGGCTGAAAATGGAGGTGCCGGCTTACGGGAGTACGGAAGATGCGTATGTGGAGGAAGAAACTACGGAACAGGAGGATCAGGTGTAGTAGGAGAGTGGAAAGTTCTTTAGGATTGGAAAATCAATATAAGTGTAGCAAAATTGTTTTGATGATGTTGGCGGGGTTTTCGCGGGGTGAGAAGAAGCGAGCTGCAGCTGCCTGGTGATCAACTACTTTTTTTTGACACGCGCTGATACCTTTTCCTTTCCGTACACAGGAATCACCTTTATCTTAGTCTTTGAGAACACACTTGAAAAATTTGTCTTAGTCACCAGATGGAATAGCCAATTGCAACAAGAATGCGAAAGCAAGATTATCCGAAATTGAAATAATACAACAAACTCAAATACTGGAATAACAACAAGCGCATAAGAATATAGCATCAACCGAAACTTCCATTTCGACTGTACAAAAGGTGGAGAAACACAACCATAGCATCAAGCATTCCAAGAATGAATTTACAGAGCAAAATGAATTTTTTCACACTGTACAATCCAAGACGCGATAGAAACCTGAGAATGAGCCTGTACAATTTGCGGCATGAGACAGTGCAGTCTTTTTAACCGACGCAGATAATGCAGTCAACGGGAAATACGGCAGGAACGAATTATTTTGATTTTTAACTATTTTGCTGCATCGGGGCCGATTGCTGAAGCTCCTTCATGTTCCGACTTTACGAAGGCTTAGAGAGGTGAGTAGCAACGACACGACACCAGTCAAGACGCAATAGAGAACGCGCGCTAAAGTTTGGGTGAGCGAGATGAGCGCAGATTAAGCAGAGTGCAGCTTCACTTCTGGTTGCGCGAGAGCAAAACGTTATCTGTTGTGCCTTGTACTACCACCACGCACCGTCGACGAGTTGCGACATTTATTCCTCCGTACCGCGATTTCCTCGTCGCTCGCGGAGGTGGCCTAAAGGACAGCGCAGCTTGTGAGCAGCGTTTCCAACTGTATTCGTAGCAGTTTAGTGGAGCAGCTAGGGCATTCTGTCCGCAGACAACTTTGCGCCACTGCTCCCGAGGTGGTCCGAAGGAAGGTGGCCGCTACTTATGGCTGTGCTGTAGTCCCTGTCTGTGTATTGTTTATGGGCGGTGAAGCGGCAGCGGCCTCGCGGGGGAATGGGCCGGGCGCGCTCCGGGCGACCATATCGCCAGCAGAGCAATTCCAGAATGCCTGCGGCGCCACAAGAACACGATAAAAATTGGGACCCGCGTTCACGCCGACCAAAAGAGGGAAAGCGCGACGCGTTGCCGGCCAGGCTTTCGCCCCCTTGTTGTTGGGCAGGTGCGGCCCGGGGTCGCGAGCTCGTTCCGGGCGGCCGGGGCCCGTTTGTTTCCAAGCGCAAAGTGCTAGGCCCGGCGGTGGGCCGCTTCTTGCCTCGGCGTCTGCCATGTGCCGCTCGCCCGCCGGAATGAGACGACGCCCGCGCCGCCGCGCGCGCCGCCCGGCTATTGGGCTCGTGAGGACCTTCTGTTTTTGCGTGAATACTTTCCCGCCGCGGGCCCCCGGCTATTGGGCTCGCAGCTCCAGTGCCAGCGCGTTATGCCCTATTTGCGGGGCGTATTTCCACTGCCCCAGGGAAGCTGCTTTGCGCGCCCGCGGTGGGGATGCATCGTCGGCGGCGCCGTCGGTCGGGTGTGGCCCGCCGGCGATCCTCAGATGGGGACTGGCCGTCGCCCCGTTTATCGTGAGAAAAATTCAGACGAAGATGATTTTCACATCGGCGCCGGGTATGTCGGTCGTCATCTATTTGAAGAACGCTTAGTGCCGCGCAGACGGCTTTGGGCGGTGCTGGAGCTGGTGTGGCAGTTTCCTTCATGTTCTGGAGAGAAGTGATTAGTTTTGGTTGACCCAGGATTGGGTTTGGTTCGTTGAGCCACCCGGGCATTTTTTCCAAATTCGAGCGGGAGCGTGCAGTGTTGGCATCTGAGGCTGAGCAAGCCATACGTGAGATGGAGTGAATAATCTCCGATCTCAAGAGCGAGAGCGACGCGAATGCAGCCTGTGACGAGGGTGTTGACCAGTACGTACTAGTTTGCCAGCATCAGACAGCTATGGAGTTTTATCTTAATCATGAATGACGTCGATGTGAAGCGAGCCCTAGCTTGTCCAAGCAAAAACTAACGCGCGGCTGCGCGTCAACCAATGGCCAACCTTCAGCAAGATAGCGGCCGCGCGCTTTGGTGTATGGCTACACGGGAGCGACTCTTGTGCAGGGCGTTTACCGCCGGAAGCCACGCGCGCGCGCGGCGCTTTTCTGCTTCTGGTGCAGAAGCATGGCACGGGCCGAGCTGGTGGTGCCGGCCGGGGGGGGGCAGTGTCCTGCCCGGATACCGTTCCCCGAATTTTGCTCGATGGAATTCGGGCGCCGGCCTGCCGGTTTGTGGAGGGGAGCAACTGGGCGAGCCCGGGGGCGCGGGTTCTCATCTCCGCCCTCCGAAAGAAACGCCTGCAGCTCACGCGCCCCCTGTTTCGTTGTGCACCCACCAAAGCAAAGGGACAGGCCCCCAAGTGCCCGCGCCGGCCCGCGCCGGCTGGGTGGCTTGCTGGGGCAAGTGTCTGTGGGCGGGGTGCGTGGGCGTGTTGGTGTTCCGCCTGTTGCCCCGCCCCCTGCCTGCCTGCCGGGCGCGCCCTTGATGGGCCCAGGACCGGCCCCGCCCAGTTCAGTGATTTCATTGCCCGGCCGGATTCTTTGCACCACCCGCATGCGCAGCAGAGACCGGCGGATCGGGGAGAGGCCGCGCTGCCTGTTGTTGTTGCTTGGCTGTCGTGGGGTGGCTGCAGGTTGGCTTTGCCGCTCGATTGCTGGCGCGCGCGATGGAATTGGCGGGGCCCGCCGCTCCTGCCTCGCTCGTGCGTCGAACATTCATCGTGGGCACAGGAATGAAACATGCAGACATGGCGCGCTCACTTCGGTGTGTGGAAAAAATAAAAAGTAAGGGTGGCGTGGTGTTCTAATCTCGTGGCGAGGTTTTTGGCTTGTTTATCTTCTTCTAGGAGCTCGAGCGACGGTGGCGCAGGATTAAACAGAAGCATAGCGCAAAAGAAAATTTGAAGAGCGAAGATGAGAGTGTGAGTGCGCAGTGACAAAGCTAAGCGAGAGAGCGCAATCCATGTTTCACGTTACGAAGAAGTAGAAATAAAGGCTATGAAAAGTCTTAAGCTCTTGTCATGATTTTCAGGACCCAGCATCTCATTAACAAATTATAGCCCCCTAGTGCTGCCTCGCGGCGGGGTTACATACAACTTCAAGTAGTGTAAACCAAAATGAAAATCAAACCTCAACCTGTATTTTAACCTCTTCAACAATAACCTGTGCCAAAATTAGTTTCAAAAAACCCCTTTCCATCAACTCACTAACAATCAAAGATGGCCGCTCCAACCGCCGTCCTAACTTCCGCTGCGAGCAAGTCCTGCTCCTCCCGTGGACCCAGGGTACTGGCACGCCAGTGTTGCACGACAAATTCTGCTTTCCGAACACATACCTCTAGTACCCAAAAGCGGTTCTTCGCCCTGAGCAGCGCACAGCAGGTCAACCGCTTGAACCATTTCTCGAAATTGGAGCCCGCGGATGTGGATTATTTCAAATCGGTTACCACGGTGCATTATGCATTGCAAAAGTGTCGTACTACTTAGTAGAAATTGCATTACAAACTGGCTCAGCATTACATTTACAAATGCAATTTGTAATGCGGATTGACCTTGATGACTAGATTTGTATTGCATGACTGCGATTACTACGAATACGATACTTTTGCAGAGCATATTCATCAGGGAGACATGGACCGATACAACATCGACTGGCTAAAACTAATGAAGGGTATTGATTTTGTTTGTTCGACGCACCTAGTGCTAGTTGTGAACGCAAATAATGATAATGTCAGTGCGCCGCCGTGCATAGTGCTATGCTGCATGGTCGTGTGCTGCGTTGAAAAAAGTAGTCTTGTGGCACCATCGAGTATAAAGTTATACCGCACGGCATGACAAGCAAAAATTTTCTCCGAAGCAATGAATTGATACTGAACACCAACAAAGCAATCACAATACACCGCAGGTAAATCCGAGCTTGCCCTGCGTCCCCGATCCACCGAAGAGGTTTCCAAAATCCTGAAATACTGCAACGACCGGAAGCTCGCGGTAACTCCCCAAGGCGGCAACACGGGTTTGGTCGGCGGCGCTATTCCCGTGTTCGACGAGATTATTCTCTCGCTAGAACTCATGAACAAAATTGTCTCGATCGACGAGAAAGCGGGAGTTGGGATTTTCGAAGCCGGGGCGATTTTGGAGCAGGTGAACACGACACTGGTATGAATTGCAAAAATGTTTGGGTCTGGAACTTGTCATGCTAAATCAGAATCATGCAAAAATCTGTGTTGCATGCTTACCAAATAAAGCTGCCCACTTTCGACCAAACTGAGAGGGACTTTCTCATGCAGAATAGGCATGATAGACACCTCACAGAATCTGTCATGCTACGCTCTGCATTCCACGTCTCATGGGTCATGGAAAACCTGCATGACAAATCTTCCACTCTTCCAGACGCAAGCATTTTTGCATTTGATAACTGGAAAACGATTACAACTTGATTTTCCCACTCGACCTGGGTGCCAAGGGTTCCTGTCTATCCTGTGCAAAAGTATCGTACTCGTAGTGATTGCATTTGTGCATTACAAACAAGGTCCGAGCACGGGGACAGAGTCCCCGTGCGGCGACCTTCCGGCATTTGTCTGGGACGAGTTCGGGGGGGGGTTGTGGTGGCTGGCACAGGGCGGGCAGGCCCCTGCAGCTCGGTGCCTCTGTTTGTCCTGCGCTCCCTGATCCGCGACAGACTTACGGACGGAGCTCCTCAGCTTGCCCACACTAGATCCGCTGGCCCACCGCGAACAATGAAACAAAGAGAAAAGAAAGGAAGAAGCTGGCGCCGGGCCGGGTGCCAATAGCACCGGCGCCGCGTCTGTAGCTGGCCCCTAGGTCATGACGCGGGGACCGAGTCCCCGCGCTGACCTAGGGCTTCTGCCCCTGGGCCGTGCGGTTAGTTTCCGGGAAGCGCCAGCAGCTGGGTGGCCCCTTGGTCATGACGCGGGGACCGAATCCCCGCGCTGACCTAGGGCTTTTGCCCCTGGGCCGTGTGGTTAGTTTCCGGGAAGCAAGCGCCCACAACAGCTGGCCCCTAGGTCATGACGCGGGGACCGAGTCCCCGCGCTGACCTAGGGCTTTTGCCCCTGGGCCATGCGATTCGTTTCCATCCGGGAAACGCCCAAAGCTGGCCCCTAGGTCATGACGCGGGGACCGAGTCCCCGCGCCGACCTAGGGCTTCTACCCCTCGGCCATGCGGTTAGCTTCCGGGAAGCGCCAAAAGCTGGCCCCTTGGTCATGACGCGGGGACCGAGTCCCCGCGCTGACCTAGGGCTTTTGCCCCTGGGCCGTGTGGTTAGTTTCCGGGAACGAAGCGCCCGCAGCAGCTGGCCCCTAGGTCATGACGCGGGGACCGAGTCCCCGCGCTGACCTAGGGCTTTTGCCCCTGGGC